CTCTTGCTAAGWACTTGGATTCTAAGGAAGTTGGAAAAAWTTAATATTAACTCYATAGGATACCTGTATAAAAAACATTCACATTAATTCTACTAYATAATGATTAGGCAGAAATTTTTGATCAAACACCCCAACTGATATATGAATATGCTTTTCAATAATTTTATCATTTCTGCCTAAGAAAAAGATTATTGAACTTGTTTAAGTAACTAGATGCACAGAGACCTACATAAAGCCAATGTGATRTATAGAATGCTATTTCAAATACCTATGCAAGGGGAAGAGAATGATCATCCTCTGGAGGTACTTATCTCAGTYCTAAACACAGTGGAAGCTTGGACTGAACATTGATTTTCAATCAGTGAAGTGTGGTGAGATGAGTCTCACCATTAGCAACTAYAGAAAATCACATCTGAGTTGTGTTTAGTAGAAATTTAATATWGATTCATTGATGACAATAACTGTTGACATCTTGTTACCAGCCTGGAAACTCTACTGTTCTGGTTCTGCACAGTAAATGTTAAGATTTTATTGGAGTCAAAAATCCAAGACAGCTGTTAAAGAAGCACTAATATATATGTGAGATTTTCAGMATCACCCTTTACCTGAATTTCATATTATCTATAAATATTCAGTTTCTYCATAGCTGTGCTGTGTTTTGATCAGAGACGACCTGCCCAGCACAAAAGATACATCTTYATCACATTTCTCAGTGTGGTTCAAAGATTTTTCCTCCTACCCTGCAATTTTTATATTTCTGGGAGTGGATATGGATGCTTTTAGAGTTGCTAAATTTTTCATGAACAAGGATGTTTTCACAAATTGTGACTAAGAACGATGCTGGAYACAGAAAGCACTTCCAGTGTTGCAGACTGCAGGAAACAAAGGGCGCATTTGYACTTTGGTGCTGAAATCTTTGGATTAACTGCTGTGAGCTCATAAGATCAAAACGTTCAGCTCAGCACTGTGGGCTGGGAGTAGCCTTGATCCCCAGATCAGTTTTGTCACGTTCCAACTGTACTGTGGCTGACCTGTTTAGCTAAACCAACTGATTGTGCTGATAAAACCACTCTGAKTCTGCTCCATCATAAATACAATAACTCAGCGTGTGGCTCTGGGGGGCCTAAGCTACATTGCCAAATAATGGTGACTGTATATACTTATGACAGAGGTTTTTCCTTTAGTGATTCCTACAGAGCCACTCTGAAAAGGGTAAAAAAGGGAAGGCATTTGTGATTGCCTTGTCTAAGTAACAATCTCTCCGTCCACTTTTCCCAACAATTTTGGTCACACTCCTCTCAGCCTGTTCTGAGATGGAGGGACACCACASAGATTGGCAATTCTCACACGTTTTGTGAAGACTGATGGTTTCATTGAGCAAAAAGGACCCAATAAAATCTTCATTAGTTCTGCCTCTCACAAAATGCTTTGTTGAGTGAAGAGACCTTTAGAGAGAATTAGAGCCCTAATCTGTCATTTTGAACATCCTCKCTTTCCATTAAACAGAGCAATTTGCAAGATTAAATGCAAGGGAATATCTTATTAGTTCTCATTATTTGGACTTTATCTGTTTCTGGCTCCTAAAAGCTGATATAAAAGCACACACCCTTGTTTGTTTTAGCAGTAAGTGGTCCTAKTTCCTTCTAGTATKTTCTAAWACTCTTTATTCATCCTGAAGCSGAATAAATAGGTCAGYATTCACAGTTCAAATCACAGTTCCWCTGGATTCAGATTMCAGCAAYGAAGTGCAGTACGAGTGGCAGTTTGTTCAAACTGCTTTAATTATTTCACAGACCACTGTCATTTCTTGTTGCTGAATTACTGTCAAATAAACCACCCTTATGATCAATTTAACTGCCCCTTTTTTAGCCTTTTGAATACTTTCTGAAGCGATTTCTCTGCATTTTTACAGATTCCTGGAGGAGTGAGAACCACTTCTGATCTAATAGAAGACTCAGATGCTTTCCAGGCATTTTTGACCTGTGTTTAGAACAYGGACAGGTAGGTTCAGTCTCTCAGGTCTCACTGTTTACTAATACATATTTCCTAGTAAACCTTTCCCCTGTGCAGCCAGAGAAAACAGATTAGAGATAGCTTTCTTATTCTGCATCTTGTTTTACACTGGCCCTGCCCCCAGGATAGATTTGACCAAGGCAGAGGATATTTAATTAAAAAAAAAAAAAAATTAGCCCATTTTATTAAATGGAAAAAAGCCTAATGATGTTTTYCCCCTTTTCTGCCTGAAACCTGGGAGAATAGCTGGATCAGTGGATAGTCAAGCAAGTTTCAGATTTGAAAGTCTGGCTTAGAAAAGTTGGAAGTGATTCAGATATTGAGGTGTGGTGGGGATTTACATGACTGTACTCTTCCCTCGAGTGACTATAATACAATAGTGAGAAGTTTGCTCTGAAGCTTTTTTATTCATCATCTGATACTGTTAAGGTGAATGCAATGTGAATTGTACAGATTACTGCACTCTAAAATTTCTGTAGAGCTAAAATCACTCTTAATGCAGTCAGATGATAAAGAGAATGACAATACATAATCGAAACCCTAGGCATTAGATATAAAAGATTCTGTCATGCTTTTTCATCAAAGGATTCAACAAAGTACACCTGTTCCTTTACAACAGTTTTCACTTTGGGGATGATTATTAGTTGACCAAGAAAAAGATTCTTATGAATGCAGACTAAGCTGACAAAAGGAAGGAGAAGAGTCCATTATCTAATGTTGTTTCATAATGAGCTGTCATAATGATGGTAATAGTAAGCATTTGGATGCAAGAGTCTGCAGAAGAGGAGAAGAGCCTAGCCAAACTATTTCAGAGAGCTCAGGATTCATTTTATTCTGAACCAGACTCCTCTATACACCAGCTAAATCTCAGTTTAATTTTTTTTAAAGATTTAGTTAAATTGATAAAAATTTTGTATGGACATATCTATGTCAAATCAAGGGAAAATAGACAAGTATTCTTTGCTACTAATTCTCTCATGGAGTGGTAACTTTGTCAGTGAGAGCTGGAGCAAGCAGCAGAGACAGAAATCTTTAAAAATCAATTCTGCCATAAAAGAATTAGCATCAAAGGWTCAGAGAAATTATGTAGGAGTGTTCTCCATTCTGTATTGAAAAAGAAGAGGCAATTTAATTCTTTGATAAGGTAATCTCTTTAAATTTTTTTCTTCTTCTTTTTTTTTTGTGTAGGTTTCCATTAAGTACAATCATATTACCATAAAACAGATTAAAGTAGTCTTCCCAAAGAACTCCCTCCAGATACTTTTACTCTTAGTGCTTGCAATGCCATGTTCCAGCACATTCTTTAGTGATCTGTGGACGAGTATCTATAATTCGAATATTTAAGGGGGACCAACAGACCTGCTAGCATCCTACCCCAGCAACAGAAACAGAGGTTTCTCTCTCTCCTTTYCCCCYCTAGGTTTYTTGACCTAWTAAAAATAGGGGTTTTYTTAAACTTTTTTTTTTTASTTTGTTGTTCTGATCTGTGCAATCCATGTTTGCAACTCCTCATATCTGACTTTTAAAATATAAATAATTTGGATCCTGATGCACTTTGAAGAGACGAAGTAATCCAAGGCAAACCATTCTGAGTTAATCAGAACTGATGTCTAAGGATCTGTGTACCTGCTGTGCATGCTGTTCTCTGTCCTTCTGCTACTTTGAAGCCAAGCACAAGGTGGCCCATAACACTCCAAGACTAAGTGCTGGAATCCTGTCAACCTCATTTTACCACTTAAATTGYAGCACAGGAAGTATCAGAGCAGGAGCACATCTTCCACCACTCAGTAAAAGCGTGCCATGAATTATTAGTGTGGTCGCTGGCACTGCAGACACTGAGCTCCCACCAGCACTCAAGAGTTAGTGCCTGCTTTAGCTCTGTGTAGGTCGTGTCTGTGATTACCATGCAGGCCCAGGAGAGAAATCAGGCTATTTTTATTTCACTGCAATCCATCTTTAAGAAATCCAGGGCACCCATGTCTGTATCACCCWTCACTCTCCCAGGCTGCTGTTGGAGTAGGACCCATGGCAGGAAACACCTGGGGCGAACAGGATGGGATATGCTGGACAGCCACAAGCTTGAGCCCCACAGTGGACATCAGATCAGGTATCTCTACCAGTACATCCCATCCTGGGGTGTATCAGGAACAGTGTGGTCAGCAGGCTGAGGGAGGGCATCCTCTCCCTCTTATCAGTCCTAATAGGCCAGAGCTGGAGAGCTGTGCCCAATTCTGAGCTCCTCAGTGCAAGGAAGCCAAGGAGCTACTGGAAAGGGTGCAGCAGAGGCCACAAAGATGATGACAGGTCTGGAACACCTTATGAGGAGAGGCTGTGGGAGGTGGGCCTTGTTAGTCTGGAGAGGAAAAGACTGAGGGGATCTCATAAATGAATATAAATATCTCAAAGTTTGGTGCCAGATTCTTCAGTGGGGCCCAGTGACAGAACRAGGAGCAACGACCATAACTAAAAGAAAAGAAGTTTCACCTCAACATAAGGAAGGGCTTTATGTCAAAGGTGCCAGAGCACTGGAACAGACAGCCTTGGGAGATCATGAAGTCTCCCTGTCTGGAGACATTCAAACCGCACTGGGACACATTCCTGTGCCACCTGCTCCAGGTAAACCTGCCTTGGCAGGAGGGGTTGGACTGGGTGATCTCCAGAGATCCCTTCCAACCCTAAAAATTCAGTATTCTGTAAAATTCACCTACATGGGATGAGGCCATTTTTGGTGCACTTCCAAAAAGGTGAGTCTGGGGTTTTTATCCCTTGACAGCTCCTGCCCAACTTGGCCCTCACGGGATGGCACCGGGATCCGGGCACCCCCTCAGGCAGCGCCGAGCCGAGCCGAGCCGAGCCGAGCCGAGCCGAGCCGAGTTCACCCGAGCCCGCTTCCCCCGTTCCGATTGGTGGGTTTTGGCCTCCCCGCGGCTTTTCCTCCAATCAGCGCCGCGCGTCCGTTGCTAAGCGGCCGCTGCCGGCGGGGGGCCATGGCGGAGCAGTGGCGGGACGTGTGTGGGGTGCGCATCGCCCCGGCCGAGCTGCGCTTCAGCAACGCGGCCCCGGGGAACCACTACCGCGCCTCGCTCACCGTGCAGAACCTGCGGGCSGGCACCTGCCGCCTGCAGCTGCTGCCGCCGAACCGGCCCCAGGTGAGGGCCGGCCGGGAGGGAGGCGCAGGGGTGTGCCCGCGGCCGCCTCTCCTCAAACAGCGGCCGCGCTGCGTTTCCTCGGGCAGCGCCTCGCACCGCTCCAGCCCGCGGCAACAGCGGCAGAACTAAGGGAACTCTGAGCTTGCCTGTCCTTTATTCCCCTGAGGATGGGAACAGTTTAGAGAGAGCTTCCTTCTTTCTTAAATCCATAGTTTCAGTAAAAATAAACAGCCTTTCCTAGCTACATCAGCCATTAACAGTTAAGCTTGATGATCTTWGAGGTATTTKCCAACCKTASTGGTTCTGTGATCAAGTCTCTTGTTGGCAGCAAATCCTGCTTTGCCGTCTTGGCTGATTTTGTGTTCTCCAGAATTCATCCCGCAGGAAGCCCATGAGTTCCTCGTAACTTCAGGGAAAATTCTGTAGAAATGGCTGTGGTGTGAACACCAAAATCTGGAAGTGATGGCTCTCTTAATTTCTGRGCTGTATACTTTATAGTTTTTTGACTGGAGCAGTCCCATTGTGCTTGCTTCCTAAGAATTTTCTCAGAAAAGAGGAGCTTYGCAATGTTTTCTCAATATAGTGTGACTGCTATTAATAACATAAGTTCTGGAAAAGTCATTGTAGTGCCAGGCTCTTTAAAGGCAAATGTATCTTTACAGTTCTAACTAGCTGAGCCCTCATAACCTCTGCRGCTTCAGCAAAACCCTGCTGTGGTTAGTAGTTTATTATTTGTAAATTATGTCAGAATTATGATCAGAAGGCTGGGTTGAACTGGCATCAGGGGTTCAACAGAAGCTGATGTTGCTTTGTGTTCATAGAAACTTGAACTATGAATAATTCAGGGTAGTCATCAATATGATTTTCAGACAATTGAAGTACCTTGAATAATTTCACTACCTGAGTAGTGAGCCTTTCTTTGTGAGGGCAAGAGTGGCAGCTTCATTCTTATTAAGCTGTAGCTGAAGGCTTTTGGTATGAGCTGGCAACTGTTGAGAGTGCTTGATTTGGTAGGGCTGTGCTTATTGTRTTTTGTTAGTTTTCATCAGCCTTATCAATTTTTCATTGCTCCAGAAGCGGAAAGGCAGAGTCAATTTTAAAAAAGAAAAAAGGTTACTGAATCATTGCTTTGGGGTTTTTCCCTTTGTGATTAACTCTTGCCTTTTGCTTAATATTTTTATTCCATTGTACATGAGATGATGACCAAGATGACAGCTAGGGGACAAGATTGCACTTCACACTCATTTCCAGAAAGGTCTGTTGCGTTGCCCTTGTGTTGCTGTCTGTGATTGCAAGGCTCTGAAGTGTATGACTCCTCTGAAATATATTCTGATGCMTTGCATGTATAGAGTGCAAGCACTGAAACATAACCTTGAGCTGTCATAGTGCATGGCCAAGAAATGCCTTTCAAGAAATTAAGATCACAAAGCAGTTTTTCATAGTTTTTTTTTGAATGTTCTTAGTACAATATATTAATTTTGCCTTGTATAAAATGAATATGCTTSRATGTTTAATTCTTTTTAGAYAAGRGKTMKATTTTAYACATCTCAGAATTAAAATATGGCTKCTYTTTCAATATGAAGCCCATMATTATGATGTGCATGACATAACAAATTTCCTTTAGCTGAGTAAACTGCTAGAAGGATTCTAAAGGAATAGAAGGAGATGCTAAGACAACATAGGTAGCAAGTGGTAAATTATGTTTGCATGTTTAGAACATAAATTAGAACAGAAAACTTAGAATATAGGGAAGACTGTCTTTCAGGAATAAACAACATTMGAACTGGACATAAAGAGCAGAAGCCCACTGTGCACAGGGTAATGTGAATTGTAAGGAGACAGCCACCAAAGGAGCTCTAGACTTCACTTTGAGGCTTTCCTAGGAATGTGGGAAGTGCTGGATTTCCCTCTGTGTGCTGATGGTGGGTTACTTGTGTCTTCTTTTCAAGAGAAGGTACAGGGGATGGTGGATTTAAACAGACACTTACTGACAAGTAATCCAGCATTATTGTTTTGAGAGAGGAAAGGGTGCTTTTCATCCTTCTGGTTTTTTTTCCCTTTCATTTCACCACCAAGATTGGAGGTGCCTTTCAAGCAGATTTTCAGTGTGCAGTGAAACTTTCTGTTGATGTCAGTCAGACCTAGAGGGAGCTCTAACCTGTTCCTGTTTGCTGTTTTGAACTGAGACTCAATCTTTCTTATTTTCTCAGCACTAAAAGTAGTTTTCACTGATTTAATTTTCTATTGCTTCTGAAGGTTTTCTGCAACAATAGGAAAAGCTGGAGCTCTCTTGGAAAGACTAGAAAATTTTGCTAGTTCATTCTGTCTTTCTCTTTTTCTGTAAAAAGTCGGAAATTCAGTAAATAGGGAGGTAAAATTATAAAATTCTGCATATAAAGATCATGTTAAATTTTAATCTTCATATTCTTCTGAAAATAAACTAAATATCCTAAAAAAGGATAAATGTATATCCTTCTTAATCTAGAAACGTGTAACAATTAAAAGAATATTTTTTTAAATTGCAGTTTAAATTGATTGTGAAAAATCCAGAAAAACCTGTTGCATCTGGACTTCAAATTAAAGCTAYTGTGGAATATTCTCCTGACCGTGCAGAAGATCTTCAAGACAAACTCGTTCTTTTAGTAGACGATGACARAGTTCATATCCCCCTGCTTGGGTATGATATTAAGAAGCTCACATGCTGCTCTTAATATTTGCAGATTAATGTGTTGGAAAGTTTACTTATACATGTCAGATATGGCTTTGTAATTAGTCTGTCAATTGCATGGAAAACAAACTAGTTTTCTTACAACAGTAAGATTTTTCTTTTTTTTTCATAACAGCACAAGGGTAAGATGTTAATTGGGGTGATGTCCCTCTGAAATTATAGAGAGTCTGGATTTTTAGTTTTGCCATAATCTAACTTGATTTTGATAATGTTGGYAATTTTGAATTCTGTACTATTAGASAAATTAACAATTACTTTTAATGTCTTCCCTTCATACTAAATCACTTACATAAAAGATTTTGCAGTAATTGTAACAGTTTCAAATCTGAATTGTAGTGAAACATRTGTTGCCTAATTCTAAAAATAGGGTGCATGCTTTAGAGCAACATCACAAGGACTTTTGAAAATTTTTGTTAGGGTAGTATGGTGAAGGAAAGGCACATAGGAAGAATTATAATGCTACTGGGGACTCCTTTCTGGAAAGGACYTGCAATAGATTAAGTACTTAAAATCTTCATGTTTAACTGTGTTTTGCAGAGAAAACGTTGTCAGGCTTTAATAATAAATTTCTGTGTGTRTTTGGAAAAAACAAGGATATTTTATGATTTTATTCAATGTTTTCCAAAATATAATTAGTGTCATGCAAAACCAGTAAATTCCATCTTCATAAAAAAACCCCAACTAGCAAACCAGAGCAAACAAATAAACCTCACACTGTATTAAAAAAACAAACTCCAAACCTTTACCTTGACTACCTCCCTTTTGCATAGGTCTGTATCTATTAGAAAATCTCATTTTATTTATAATGTATGCTTATTTCTGCCCACTTGAAAAGATAGATACTTAGATCTTGAGAGGAGAAGTACTTTTGTTTTTTTTCCGGTGAAACTTCTTGTAAGAATGTCTGGATACTTGCAAAGTAAAATTTTTACAATTTTTGTGAGTGTACACTAATCTTGATAGATGATTTGTTTTTTTTTAAATTTAAATTATTTTATGGGGCTTTTTTGCCACATCCTGCTGGTCTAGCATCTCTTTAAGGAATTTACTACATTATTTTTTTTGCATTACAATAAATTATCAAAGAGAATTAAAAACTGTATTAAAATTCCTGAGAGCAAATTCTTTTGTGGTGTTTCTTGATTTAATTTTTTGCCTCTATCCCTTCCTTGCCCCTCATCTTCCCATAATGCAATTGAATATTTGGGCAGGATCTACCTCACTCAATCAAGGATATTTTTCTTCCTTCTCCTTTAAGCCTTCTGTGCTGCATGTAACACAGATCAGGAGATGGAATTGTTCCTGCATGTTCCTATTTGTGGCTAAGAAGAGACAGACTGCTGTGCTCATGTAAAATTAAAATTGATTTGAAACACAGTTTTATGTGAGATCAGAGGTATCATTGTATTAAAGATTGGAGTCTTTAAAATACAAGTTTCCTGAGGCATGATCTATTCATKATGCCTAAAAAGTACCCAGTGATGTCATCATACTTGCTGAGGGTCTTAAATAAATAATAAAAGTAGCTTGTGGCTTGTCATTACACACTTCTGTCTGTTGTAATAAGTTTTGTTGAAGTCACAAGAAGTATATATCAAACACAAGACTTTACATGGATATTGGCACTTCTCTGCTCTTAGTTCAGGCTCATAATGAATTATTTGGTCTAATTTTGTGATGAACTAATTCAGGATAGTTTTATTTAAAGTACTATGATAATGTATTGGAAATGAAACAGAAGTATATTAATTAAATTTTGACTAATTGTTTAAAGAGATATTGTTTTCAAATCAGAATGGTCAGTCATTAAACAGATTAATAGATAAGTACCTCTCTTTTAGACCTTTCCTGTGTGTGCTGTAGTGCTGTAGTGAGTTGCCAAAACTCTGATAGAACTAGGACAAAAAGAGAACTCTCTTCCCCTGGAGTGCTTAATCAAATTTCTTTTAAAATGCAAAGGTACTTTAAAGTTTTGGGAAATATAATATTGTCTTTTCTCTGCAGATTAATTCCATACTCTTATCTGGAAATAGAATCAAAGTTTGATTTTGGTGAAATGATTGCAAACAACAAAACAGTTACTAAAAAGATTAGTATTGCTAACCATGGATCAGYTGCAGGTAAATATTTAGTATGCATTAAATCATACAAATAGTTTMTTTTATTTGAAACATAATTTTATGCAAGTTAACACTTTGGTGACCCAGCTGCAATTAACTGAAATTTGGGTTATGCAGATTGTGATTATTGTAGCTGCAGTTGTTGCACATGGCCTGCTGCTTATGTCACCAGTACTATGTTTCCATTTAGGAAAGAAAATATAGTTTAGAACTTTGAAAATTTTATGAGTTCTCTACTTTTGAGTCCCATTTGAAAGATGTAAGAATAATAGTTGCCCATTGCCTTAGTGTGCTCAGTGTAGACAGCAGCAAATCACATCTGCTCTTGCTTTGTGCTTCTGTGATCCCCAGACCTCTCTCTTGAATAAACAACTACGAGTTCCCTGCACTTTCCAAGCTAAAGTCCTCTAGGACAGGAATTGAATTGTCTTTGTTGCTAGAAGATTATGAGAGGCTTTTTATTTTTCTGCCATAGCTTTTGAAATCCTACAGCTTTTAGAACAAGCACATCCTTAAACTTCTGTGAGCAGCAATTCCAAGGAAAATCAGAAACATGGATAAAGGAACATAAGATTAGAATGCTCACATGATCCAAACAACCTATGTGACTGCCTTTTGCACTTGACAGTGACTTGCCTTGGACAAGGCTGCAGATGCCTTTTTCCAGAAGAAGGGTGGCAGCTATGCTGTGTTTCAAACAACAAATTTAAGGCAGTTAATTATTTTTTTTCCTCATTTGTACAGCTCTTTGTTGCATTACAAGCTGGTTTTTTTGCATTAGGCCCAGGCTGTGTGAACATTTGTCTCCTAGATTTTCATATGAAATATTGTACCAAGAGAAAATGCATGATTACAGGAACACAGAGAAGAGTTGCAATATTAAAAATAATTTAAATATATATATATATCTAATTTCTGTCTAGATAAAGCAGATTTTTAAAAAATTTTCTTTTGAGGAAGAAAAAAGAAATTATTGGGCGTGTTTTCTACAGCCAGCTCAACTTAAAAGATTAGTATGCAGTTTATATAATCAGGTCTTTCTCATACATGCTAACTTACTRCTTTGAGCAATTATGATTAGAAAGAAGATGAGAGAACCTACAGTACATGTGCATCTACAACTAAATTGTATGATATAATTTTTTTCAAATTGTGTAGGTAACTGTTTCTAGTTATAAACGGTTGCATGATACATATAGGCTGCATGGTGGAGTTTTCTAGGATTGAATGAAAATTTGAATGAGGGCAATGGTTAGTAAAGAATGTCTTGAGGGCAGACAAAGAGCTGCTGAGTTTGTGTTTCTGTGGGCTCTGTAAATCATAATAAGCAGGTCACAGTTAACAGCAGCTTCTAAACTGTGTGAGCAGGAAGTGCTCTGTGCTAGCCTGAGACTTGAGGATTGCATTTCACATCTCATCCCATGCACTAAATAAGTCCTTTTTTCCTGCTTCTGATCTCATATAAGAGATTATCTTTTATATGAAGTCAGCACATTTTTCATACATTTGAAACAATTTGTCTATGATCTAATGRCAGATGATTAGTGTTGTTGGTTAAACATAGGGTTTTTTCACATTTATARAAGTATTTTTATAACATATATTTATCTATATATTATAGAAATATTTAATGTTCTCTTCTGCAGTAACTTACATTGGGTACAGACCAAATCATAGAAGTTGTTGTTACCTGCAATATGCAATTAACTCTCTGGCTACTCTAGCTGCCTATAACTTGGTATAACTTGCAAAATGTTACTTACAGCTGTTTCAGGATATTGTCACTTCTGTTTGGAATGTGAGTGCCTTTCCTGTAAACATCACAGCTTGCAAAATGGAATTGGACACGTGGGTGTAATATTTAAAGAAAGCTTGGAAATAATGATCTACTCTCTCTTAGAAATAGCTTTTAAAAAGGTTAACTCCATGTTTCCTTAGGAAATAGGAAAATGTACTGCTTGTGAACATCTGYATTATGTGTTGTGTAATTTCAAGTGTGTTTTAGAAGAATATAAATCTACAGCTTTATATTGTGTGACATTCTGTWTACTGCTCTGGTTTTTCTAGGTGGATTTCGTATAGTATATGGTGGGGTTGTCCTGCTTAACATAAGACCTGCCAGAGGAGTGGTAAAAGCAAAATCTGTAAGGACAATTGAAGTGGATATCTGCACAGATACACCTGGAGTCATCAATGAAATGATGAAGTGAGTGTATGAAGAAATGCAGCTCTATAAATTTCATTTTYGTCTGTTATTTATTCTAGTCTTTATTATGAATGTTTGTCTAAGAAGATTCAGTTCCTGTCAGTTATTGTCTTTAATATTTAGTTCTATTAAATTAACTTGATTGTTATATTATCTCCACAGAAAAGTGATGCATAATTGTATACCTGGCTGTGTTAATAAAGATCTTTCATACTTTATAATGATCTGGGATGTTTGCACATTCCTCAGAATAAAACTAACCAAGAGCTTTTGTATCTTTCAGCTTTCTGCACATCCTGTCTTCCCTACTTTTCTTAGCTTCTGTAACTTCTTGTTTTCTTTTAGCTCTTTGTGTTTCAGGAGTTTCAGGAACATTGTGGTGTTCTTTGGTGTATCTTATTTTCACTAGAGGGAATGTATTTGCAACACTGGAGTGGATTGYTTTTAAATACATGCCTTATAGAATCATAGAATCACAGGATGGTTTGGCTTGGAAGGGACCTTAAAGTCCTGTATTTCCAACCYACCTGCTGTGGGCAGGAATTTTCCACCAGAMCAAATTGCTCAGAGTCTGTCCAGCCTGACTTGAATGCTTCCAGTGATGGRGAGTTCACAGCCTCTCTGGACAATGTGAGAGTGGGCGTGGTTGGTTTGTTAAGTGGTTTTGTTTTTTTTTGTTTTGGTTGGTGGTTTAAGCTTTTTGGGCGGTTTTTTTTTGGATGTGTATGGAAGTTTCCTGTTTTATTTTAAATTATTAAGATGTACTTCAAGTTCAGTTCTTCCTGTTCTTGCTTTTGGCGGTGGCATGTTAGAAAAGGGAATGACAGACGAAAAATTGTCTTGGAGTCACAGGCAAGGTGGTGTCTGTGCTACTGCTTCACAGTTACATCCTCCTTTGTACAATACTTTCTTTGGCTACTAAATATCAACCCTTTGGTTGCTAAGTGCCTTCTGCTTTACTTTTGGTGTCCAGGTTGCTACCATAATTTTCTTCTCCTTGTTTGAGGTAAATGGCTACTTTCCTGCAGTCTAATAGATAATTTATCTATTCAACTGAGAGAGCATGACTACACAGAGCTCATATTTCATCCTACAGCCATTTTCTGCCTTAAATTCTGCATAATTCTGTCCATGAATTTGGTGTTTCTCAGTAGTTACTGTTACATTCTTTAGACAAGATGAAATGTTACGTTTTCTTGTCAAGCCTTGCACAAATGTAGAAATATATATGTGTACTGATGCGCATATATGTGTTTAAACAAACAGGGTGATATTTAAAGTCTTGCAATGGGTATTTGACAGGAATATGACTTTGAGAAATAGTCCAGTTTTCATGAAAACACGATAGTTATTTACATTTGCCATGTTGTCTGAACGTTTGCCTTCAATGTGCAAGCAAAATTATTCTCAAAGGAATCTGCTCTTCAAGAGCTGAAAGAYGATATTTGGAGATCCTCTCCCAGATCCCTTGTGTAGTTATATATATGACTATTCAAAACCAAGGATTTTTTTTTAATTTAAATTTTCTTTTCAGTTCAGAGGCTGCTCATAAGGACAGATGATTCTATTTGAAAACCAGGGTGTATTACTGCTTGATTCTTTTGTTCATCAAGAACAAATATGCTTTGTTTCACTAGAATTCTGATAACAAAAAATAGTACAATGTCTGTATGATCTGTTGGTGATTTGTGGTATCATCAAGATCAAGCTCTCGGGCAGGAACAGCAGCAGTTTTTTCATGTTTATTCAATGAACTTTTAGTGGCAGTTCCCTACAAGAAAATTAAGTTTTGTATGCTACAATTGGTATTTAGATATGAAGACTCTTAGAAATAAGAGCAATGTGTATTGTCTATGGACACCTAATTCTTTGCAGATGTTGTTCCTATCATTTCAAACATTTAAAAAAAGTCAAAAAACAAAACAAACCCAAAACTCCACTATGTAATGTGTGTTTCTTCCTGATTGATGCTATTCCTGCTAGGCCATTGTCAAGGACATGCTGTCTGCCCTGCTCCCCACTTAGTTTATCYGTGGAAAGCCAGTGATTTGAATGCTTGGATGTTGTAATTTTTTTTTGCCCAGAAATCTTATTATTTCTAACACTTCTCTCCATTACCTATTGCTGCTTGTTACTCTTACTGGCAGAGTGGAGTTGGATGATCGTGGCTTCACTGAAGTATGGATCAGAGGTGTAGTGGTTGAACAAGATCTCAAAGTTATTGGAGTGTCTTGCGGAAAAGTACTGAAATGCATTAACTTTGGACGTCTTTACTTTGGGACTTCAAAGACTGAAAAAATATATTTATACAATGAAAGCCCTGAATGTATGGATTGGGTAGCAGTCCTGGAAGACAATGCCATTGGAGGAGAGTTGGTAAGAAACTGCTCTGGTTTTTGTTTTAGTTGAAAACTTGTGTTCATTTCTGTGTTTGCAGTTTTTATTTCTAAACATTCATTTTCTACTATCGTTTATTATGTCAGAGTATTTCCTGATCAATAGGCTTGCTGAATCTTCTGTCTAGCCAATACGTTTTCTACTTTAATTTAACCTTAGAATTGAGTTAAATTCAATTATTTGTTTCAGTAGGTGACATTTTAACCTTAACAAATTTAAGTGCATTCACTGGGTACGGTTCTTGTAGTTTTGTTTGGGGTTTTTGGAGCAATTTTCCTTGAAATCCTACTMGTTTTCTTATTATTTACTAGGAGTKATCAAAATACARTTTTGAATTCTAAGATGTTAATRATCTGTGGTTTCACTTGTTTTTCTCAGACAGTGAAATAATCAGATTGAGAATTATGTTTAAAAAAGGGAATGCAAAACACTGACATGAAATTGGTTCAAAAATCAGTTAATTAGTCATGTGATGTATAACTATGTCAGTACTATTTCTTGTGTTATCTGTTGTACATGAAAATGCATGTATATAGGTAAATATACAAACACAAAAGGGAAAGCAGAACAGGCTGAACTATTCTGTATTTTGATTATTTTTTTAGGGGACAGATCTTCAGAAGAGTACAGATGCTGTTTTACAAGACTTAAGCCTGAAAACTAAAGATGTAGATGTTTCCACCTTGATCTTGTGCATTCCCGATCAAGGAACTTTGCTGCCTTATGAAAAATCTATGGTTACACTGTGCTTTAGTCCAGAGTGAGTGAGTGATACCAATTAAATGMACACACAAACACACAAATTGATTGGTCTACACTATTCTGCAAGAGCTGTGTTAGAGAAAATAATTTCAAGTTAATATGGCTGCACATTATTTCTGAATAACTTCTTATGTATTTATGTGTGTTAAAAGAAATTTCTTGGCATGRTTCTGCTAATCAGAAAGCAAAGTCTGAAGTGATTTTATGATTTTATGTTTTATGTTACACTAAAGCTGTATTTGGACCAAGAATTGGTTAAGCTGGTTTTGTCTTTTTCAGAAYAAGAATTTTATTAGTTTTTGCCATKTATTAAYCACCAAGAGAGTGAAACACTTTGGAGAGCTGTCATCTCATTAAAAAAAAACAAGCAACACAAAAATGAAAACTAAACATAAAGAAACGTTTCTTCTTGGATGAAGAAAAACCTAATGCGCTCTTGCCATTTTCCCTTACTTAAGCTCTAAATATATGTAGTTGCTATGCATGTGGTATTAGTTTAGGAAACTGTTGTGGACTGGAAAAGATATAAAAATTGCCACTATAATAAACACACAGATATTGATGAGCTTAAATTTGTTACTGTTTGCTTTTTCAGAAAGGAAGTAAAAAGATCATTTGTTCAACATGTTACTGACAGCAAAGAAGCCAGAGTGGATGTTCAAAAATATTTCTTGATTTTTTATGGGTTAAGTTTGGTGGTTTATTTTTCTTCCAGTCTTTTAATTACAAATTGTCACTCTTACAGAAAATTTAAAAGAGACTTTGAAACGAATGACTCATCACTGATTCAAGATTATGTCCTGTTTCTGAGATTTGAAACTGCTGGGATGAGAGGTGGYGGTCTACCGACCCTCAGTGATGGTACCACAGCAACCACAAGTATGGTAGAAATTTATAGTCACCATCAGAAATGTAGATATGGATAATAAAACTGTATATCTTGATTTTTTTWAWTTWAAAAAAAATTCTTGGTCATCTAAATAGCTTCATGGTAAATTAMTTTTTATATTTGTTTGTTTATATCAACACAAATCAATTMATTTACATCTTTAATGCTTCAGCACCAATACCTCTTTGAACAGAGAGTAGAAAGGAGGGAATCGTGTGTCATGAATGAACACCTACAACTTAATTCTAAATTATATTAATTATAAATGCAAATATTTGAAGGATATCAAAACCCCCCAGCCATYTGCAAGTCACTAGCACTTTTAGAATACCAGTTTTGTGCATTTCCAAGTGCATCTTTGATCATCCTCAACTTCCTTACTGATGGAATATATTATTTAACAGCTGTTATAAGTAAAGGTCTCTGTGTTAGGTTTATAAAAATTGCATTATAAACACACTGATTTGTGATTTTGTGACCATACAACTCCAGCATGACTTTTGTCTTAATGAGATAATGGGTGTGAGAAGTTTTTTTTTCTGTTTGTTTTTGTGTTTTTCTGATGCAGGGAGTCATTCTCGTCATGTGGACTTAGCTTTGATGGGCTCTGGGTATCCTGTGACGTTATCTTTTAAGCCAGGAGAAGTAATTAATTTTAAGGACTGTTATTTGGGTGAACAAACACAAGTTTTRTGTACAATAAAAAATGAATCCAAGTTCCTCCCTGTAACATTCAGCTTCCGCAGGACTGCTCACTTCAATATTTCTCCTGAAACAGGAAAACTTAAAAAAAAATCTGAAAAGGTAACTCCCTCTTTMTTTTAGATTATGTAACTGTGCAGATTATTTTACAGTAGTTAGCAGTGGAATTTATTGAAAGAAAACCAGAGGAATTTCATTTTAGTAGCAATGATTTTTAGTGTCAGGCAAATATATTTTTTTCTCATTTTGTACAGTCTCTTAATGTTCTTTCCTGTACTYCAAGAAGCAAATACTATTTTAAATTTGGAAAAAAATTGTAGTACTAAGGCAACTTTACAAGGGTACTAYCTGTAAATTTTTTAAATTTTATTTTACTGACTTGAGAAGATTGATTTATACTCAAATATTTTTGCAGGTACATTAAATTTGTTTCAGTAAATCATAAATATTCAAGTAAGATAACATTTATTTTAATGGAAGAAAATTTTTCAAATAATAAGTCAAATATGGAAACATTTACAATTTCCCAAAACAGTAAGTCAGGGCACAGAATTTCTCTCAGAAATTAACAAATGAGACTTTGTTGCATTCCAGTGTGTCACATTTTTACATTATCTTGTATTGCTAATRTAATATACTATATAGTATTAATATATTGCTAATATAATATATTGCTAATTTATATGTGCCTGTTGGTATATTCTGCAAACCCTGGTTTTTGGAGGTAAGTGTGGAAAGAAGTGACTCAGTGACTCAATCATATAGAACATTACACAAAACTTGACTCTTATTTTCTGCCTCATGTGTCTCATTATGAATTTTCCTTTCCAGGAAGTGAAGATTTCATTTACTCCACGTCAAATAGGAAAATTTGAGATGAAGCAAATTATTGATATAATTGGTAACGGAGTAGATAAAAATAATGTAGATGTTTTGAAGACAAAAGCCTTTCATCAGTTATATTTGACTTTTCTTGGTGTGTGCAAATCGAAAACAAAAAGTGTCGTATTCACAGTTAATCCTGGTAAGATGCTAGAAATGCAAGTAATGAGTGATAAAATATTTTAAAAGCACATGTTTAGCATTTTAAAAGTTTTTTTACTGTTTTTAGTTTACTTGTAAAAAGTAGTAGCTCTTTGGGACTGGAAGAAATGCTCAACTGTGTGATGTATCTCCATAAGAGTACAAAACAATGGCTAAAATAATGGTACACCCTSCCATCATTTTATCAGAAATTGAACTATTAAAACATGAATTTTCATCATATGATTATCTAACTTTTATGAGTTTTTGCAAGAAATGCCGCTGCACAGTGCTAAGATGTTTCAGGAACAAATTGAGAGATGTGTAAAGCACAGGAAGAATTTAAGAAAGATAATGGGATGTTCTTTATTGATTCAAAGTTATTACTGCCAGTTCAAGCAGCCTGCCCCCTGTCCCATGTCCATTGACTCTTCCCATCCTGTGAAGCCTGTGCCAACATAARGAATCTTTCAAGATAGGCAATAATTAGTCTGTAATTATTTCCTTATGTTCCAAATGTTTTCTACAAACAGCACTTTGCAGTAGATTTGACTGAGCTGTCACTGGATTATAAACCAGTCCTGGGAAACATGATTTTTTCAAGCATCAGATGTTCTGCAGGCTCTGCAGCACCAGTGCAATGGCCTGGCCTGTTGTGGTTGTGCAATGTGGTGTCTGTGTGTTGAAAAGGGGAACTTTAATACTCTGACTGCTGCCGCTTGAAGATGTACTCCCTAATGAGAAACAGGAAGGCCATACTCATTTTTTAGACTGTGAGGGAGAAAAAAAGAGGAAATTACTGGAAAGGCATGATAAAATGTTCCTACAAGTACCAGAGTGGTTGATAAGATGCTGGGCATTCCTGCTACGTTCAGGAAGGTATTTCCAATCCATGACTATGAAGAATTGATGAGTATGAGGAAAAATTATTTTGTTTTTTTCAGATCCTTTTCTAGATGGTTCTGTTTCTTCCTGTTGTCTTCTTCCACTCTCTGTGGATGAGTATGTTTACTTGTGTTTCAGATGAAGGCAGGGGAGAGAGTGGGATGAAGCTTCTTTCAAACTGTGCCTTCCTGGCCAGTAAAAGTAATCACTCCTATGACTTAGAAGATGGAAAGTTATTTTTTGTTTGTTTTTGGTTTGTTTTTTTTTGTTTTATTTTTTTTTTTGTAGCCATTTTGGATTAAAGTAAGGCTAAATTAGGTAAATTAAATATATTTAATTATCAATTTTTTTTTCAGGTGAGGGAAGTGGTTGAAGTATGGCCTTATTTCTACCATAGTTTTTCTCTTTAGTATTTATATAGATATGTGTTTTTTTGAAACTAGAGTGAAAAAGATCTGAACTGCCTTTTCAGTTATCGTAGCTTGGGAGATTTTTGTCMAAAATCATGCCTGTGTTTGCAGCCCTTAAGACAAACTTTAGGACACTGAAAAATGTGCCAGAGGCAGCTCTGAGTGTCTGATGATGTGCCTGTGCAAGACAAAGCATCACATCTGGACACAGCTGGTTTGAGCTCTGGTGTCTGTGTGATCCAGGCTGAGGGAGGCAGTTGGATTTTGGTGTGATGTTTGCTGCTGGGTGGACCATTATAAATTACATGTGTTTTCTAATACTTTGAGTTTTGTTTGGAAAATACTAGTTAAAGTTTATGTTTTATTTGAATTTTAAGGTCTAACACCCTTGATTTCCAATGCAACTGGACAGTTTGTTGCTCGGGACACAGGACAGCTCAGTGATACAGCGCCTGTGGCAATCCTGAAATCAACACAAACACAAATTCATGCTCACCGKGAAAACAGGGATTGTAAGGATGATGCACTTATAGCTTTTCCTAATGATCGTGCAGCCAGCCTTAGACCCAGTGAATGGAATAAAAAGTACAGGTAAAATTATGTCAATCTAGTATTTAAACCCACACATTTATATATATATCATATAGTAGATCAAGATTTTTTTTTCAGGCTGAAAGTTCTTTAAAATTCATTGCATTTCTKAGTCTCTTGCATATAAACTTTCTAAATTTTCTTATGTGAAGCTACAAATGTAGCTATTACAGCTGCAATATTTTAGTTTTGTGGTTACCTTTACAAGGTCAAATATTAATTATCAGCTGCGATAAAAAGAATGTTTGGAATAAAATACTTKTATCAAAATCAATATGTTTTCATTCTGACAAGACCCAGAATCAATTTACACATGTAATAAAACTACAATTCTCTTTAAATATTTAGGACTATTTTCACAAAGACTGAGAGATATAATTACATAGACCCAGACTTTGCTTATACTGTCTCTGAACGACTATTTAGAGAAGAAAATAGGAAATACTACATCGACTTCATTGAAAATTTAAGACGGCRTCGTTTAGACAAAGAAGCTACTAGGTAAGACTTGGTTTAGAGGGTAAATAAATACTTTAGACTCATACACAAAATATGTGAATATATCTGCAGAATTAAATTAATGGCACCAATTAAGTTAGTTAAGTTAATTTGTTAATACCTAAATTTGTCCCATGCCAAAGTGCTTATGATCTTGATTCTTTCATTTATAATGCATTTATAATGCATTTATAATGCAAAAAACCTGTTTTCTTCAGGTTAGACACATAGAGATCACTTCCTGGGTGAAATGTAGGGATAGAGGCAGGGCACTTGAGCTTAAAATGAACTTAAATTAAGGTGTCAAGTTTTAATAAGATTTGATTATGATTAATGGGAAAAAACCATAACACTGATTATTTTGGATTATTTTCTTTCTGTATAATAAATACGAATTTCCAACTAGGATGTCTAGCTCACCCCAAGTAATGGATTCAGTACGTGAATTATATATTCTGTGGACTGAAGCAGATACAAGCCTTTAATCTTACTGGTCATCTAGCTTTATCTTACAGTAAAAACCAAAACAATAAAAAAATGGTCAAGGCATTTTCTGTATGTGCAGTTTTTTTTAAAATAATGAAATATTCCTATTTAAAATATTATTTGTTTTGTTTAAAAATATTAAACAATTTAATGTGTAGATCATGGAATGCTCAAACTTCTAGACTTCTATATTTTTTTTATTTCCTTCCCYGTAGGCAGTTTTATATTTATAACAATCCTGTGAGCATAGGCCTTAAACCTGCTGATGGTCTTGAGTCACCAAACATTTCAATCACAGATATTCCCAAGGACAAGAAACAGCACAAAATGCTTCCTTTAGATGACAAGAGCCTGTTAACTGGTCGAAAATTAGCAGCAATTGTTTCTAAATCTACAAACAATGGAGTAAGTTAAATGCTTGAGTAATAATGTAGGCATAATGTGTTTACTATATAAAAAACCAAGAATTTTGATCCTGCTCTGAGAAAGTATCTTGTGCTTATCACAGGTTTGGAGCTGGCTTAATCCTATGCCMTCTTCTAACCAGGAGAAGGAAGATTGTCGTCTACCTTTGACMCACAAGCAGCTTCATCAAATATTCATTGGTAAGGTTTTTTATTTGGTTGCTAAGTGTATATAGTTGTTTCAAAAACACTTATTCATAGTAGCACAATTTGTGATCATAATTGTCCACCCTAAATAGAAAACAGTTTAATTTGTAGGCAGCTGGATACCTGCAGCAGTGTTTTACTAAAGCTTTGTACTTCTCAGAAAATACTGAGATATGATTARGTATGAACATGTAAAAGAAGAGCTTCCTTTGAAGACTGCTCTTACCACAACCTCTTACAGAGAAATCAACACAGCACAGTGTGAGAGTTGCTCATACACTATTGCCTTGTTATTGGATAGCACCTGGACCAGCATTAATATCAGCACGGGAATGCTGAGAATATTTCTGGGAATTAACAGTTAAGATTGATGCCCCCCGAAACAAAAACTTCAGGATCCTCCATCAAAATAATTTCAGGGTAATGCTCTGTGATGAGGAGTAACACCTTCTAAAATCTCTTAGTGACTAACTAACAAGACTTGTTCATACTACAGGTCTATTTTAAGGTCAGCTTTTCTTCAGTCAAATTCTTTAGCAGTAAAAAGAGAATTTTCAGTGCTTCTTGGGCTTTTTTTTTTTTTTTTTTATTTTCAGTCAACCCAGAACTTGAATAGTGTAGCTGTGTATACTGATATAGTTGGGGAAATGTAGAACAAAATAAACATAATAATGCAAAAATACTTGGAGTTTTGTAAGGTGTTTGATTTGTGCCATGAGCACTCAAATTTGTAGACCAGCCTAAAAAAGAGTGATAGCAGTAAATGTGGTAGTGAAGTAATTTTGTGACCATCATTGTGACTATCAAATGGCATGAATTATTAAACCAAATGGTCACACATCAGGGAGCAAACCAACAGGCTGCATAATAAATTTTCARTGAATTGCTGGTCATTTATCCACTTAAATATCTGCTTAACAAAAATAAGTATTTGTGGGTATTAATAGTATTCTTAGTAATGAGCACATTGTTTTTCCTATTTTAATARTTGACTAAAACAAGCACAATTAAAAAATAAATATTGCTGGCTTTTGACCTGTCCTACTGGAAACATTCAGAGAACATGCATTGTATGTACTTCCAGATATTAGTGAGAATTTGTTCTACTATAGGATTTTTATAGTTGACTAAGCTTTTAATTTGAAGAACTAAAATGTTTTGATCATAATGTTTTATTAGTTAAGGTTTCCTTAYATTAGCTTTTACTTATTAATGCTGAAGATCTTATTTCTTATATATTGCAGGTCCTCCTGCTATAGATTTTGGTGATGTTTGTGTGTATTCTACAACAACCAGAGAGCTGCACATCATCAATAACTTGTCATTTCACATATGGATACAAATTGACATTGAATTTATGGAATTGCGGGAGACATCCCCATTGTCTCAGGTGGTGCCTCCTTTTACAAAAACTCATATTCCGGTTGTATTTGAAGCAACGACTGTTGGAATGTTTAAAAGGTAAGGCTTTTTATATTTGTCTTGTTTTACACATATTCTTGGCAGTAGTAAAATTAAAACAAAACAAAACAAAACAAAACACCTTTCTGGTTTTAAAGTGTAATCATGATAATTTTTAATGGCATACCCTAATTTTTGATGACATTCCAATAATCAATGAATCTGTCCTATGAGAAGCCTTATATAGCTACAGATGCATCAGGGAAAAAGGTTTGCCAATACAGTGAACTTGCTAAGAGAAATTTCAATGGAAACTACTGTACTTTTCCTATCATTGCTTCACTTACATCCATGTTCAGGTCTTTTCATGCAGCTCATGAGAAAAYGTATAGGCAAACTGTTTTCTAGCCTTTTTAGCTGCTATGAACTCTCTCTTTACTAATGTTGCTAAAATGACTGTGTCAGGTAGATCATCCTTTAGGATGATTTTTACTTTTGACATGATTTAAGTAGAGTGCAAAACAATTGCAAACTTTTCCCTTGCCAGTCTAAACTGTGTTCACATTCAGATTTCTTTTTTAAAGTATTTTCTTGCTAATGCTTATATTTCACATAAATTTTACTCTGCCTGCAACACAATAAAACCATAAAAATATTGAGAGAGATGTATTTTTGTGTTACAGATCTTTCAGTTACAAAATAAACAACCAACATGCTGGGCATGTGCTGGTAGTTGCRAATGCACTGCCTGTTGAACTTGAGCTGTCTAAAAGGGAATTGATTTTGATTCCTATTGCTGGCAGCCTAGCAGGGACAGAATTTAGAAGAACTGTCAAGGTATTAAATCGCAGAAACCATCCAGCTGCCTTTATTTGGAGACCTTTAACTCCAGAACGAAAACCTTCATTTTCTATAAGGCCAACCAGAGGTATGCTATGCAAACACAGTRTGTGTATCTTCTTTGTCAACAGTATTAATAAGACAAACATTTAGCTGATCCTATAAACTACATTTTTAGATTTGTGTCAATATCAGTGTGTCCCAAAAGCAGATCACAGCTTAGCACCACAGCAGCATTCTCTGTGTAAGTCCTGCCCTGAATGCATGCTCAGTCCAGCTCCCTGCTTCCATGCCCAGCCAGCAGTGCTTGTGTAAACATTTTTCTTAGCACAGATTGCTGACATTTCAGGAGTTGGGCAGCAATATTATACTGCTCATCAGGACAGGAAATTTTCCAAAAGCGCTGAGTGAAGCTAAAAAGTTGATGAAGGTTGAGTAACACAAATGGAATAAATCTGGGATTAGTTTGCATTTGCATCATGGATCAGTATTTGTTAGATGTGTGCGTAGCTTTTACCTTCCTTTATTTGAAAAGCAGTATTCTGCAGGAGTGTGTTGGAGCACCATTATTAAAGAAAAAGCTGCTAACTGGAAGGGATTTGACTTGGTGTGCTCTGATTCTTGAGAAAAGATATTCCTGCTAATACAAATTCACACTCAATTGCAGGCAAGAAAGTGTGTATGACCTTTTCCAAAGTTGCTATTCTGCAAGAAGGATAGTCCGTTCTTTTATTTTTGTTTTTAATGTTGACTATTAGAGTAATTCCTGGCTAAAATATCCTAGTAAACTTTGAGTCTGTTTCATTGCAGGATACTAATAAATAGATTATGCAATTGTAATGAGAATCCAAAACCTAATTTTACTTAATTCATCAGACTGTTCAACACCTGAGAAATGTAGGCTTATATTCAGTAACAGAAGGTCATTTCACTTTAATSTGCCTTTATTATTCCATATTATACAATGTAATTTGACAATTGTCATGTGTATGCTGTRACATCTAAATTATGTGCATATGTTTAGGGTTTGTGGAGGCCTACAGTGATCTGGAGTGTGAAGTTATTTGGCATCCAGGGTTCCACACTCCAGAAACAGGAGAATTCCTCTTGTATGTGCGCAAAGGAAAGTCAATAAAGTTGAAATGTGTTGCAAAGGTAACAATTCATACAGCAGCTTTAGAGAAGAAAAATATGTAGATTATTTTAAAAACAAGTAATTTCTTAAATATATAATCTTTTTTTATTAAAATAGTTTGATTTCATATAGCTTTTATTTCACATGTTTAACTGAAGAGTATGCTTCACAAACATGRTGGAGAAGGCAAGGCAAAGGCAATTTACCTTTTTCTTGCTTTTGATGATACTCTTCCTTTGGCATCACAGCTTAATGGTCCTTATTTGTTATGAGGTAATTACTGTTTGGTTTGCTTAGTTTGACTAAACAAAGGTTGAAAGGTGATATGACAGTTTTTTAGATTATATATAATATATTAATAATAATACTAATTATTAATTATTAATTATAATTTATTAATTGTTACTATTTATATATATAATAATCTAGGTGTGTGTGGGAAGGTATGTTTTAGAAATTCGGGTACCAACAGGCTCTAATTTAATTTTGTGTTGTTATTTGAACATGATATTTGAGAGGCAATGTTCTGGCTAGTCTTCTTAACAGTGACATTCAGATTTGGTTATTAATTTGTTGTCTTCCATTGCATACCAGAGGGCTGGAAGAAGAAAGACTTTTTTTTCACTCTATTCTACTGACTACATGCTCTAGAATTTTCATTGGGACCCAAGAATGCTTTACCCTTCCTTTTGAAGTGTCTGTTTTTGTTTTTCTTTTGCCAGTAGCTTTTTTTTTTTCTTTCTCTTCTTTTGAAGCCTTGGAAATTTGCCATATGTAAACCAGGATGTGTGTAAATTAGAATGTTTGCATTTCTACTGCTATTAATAGCTGAAATGTCTTGTTGTGATCACACATTTGGAATTAATGGAGTTTGTGCTATTAAATTAAATTTAATTAAAATATTTTTATTGGTCTTGAAATTAGTCCAGAAATATCTGTGGAGTTGTGTCTCTTCAATTTGAATCTAGATAAATTCAGTACAGTGAGTAAATCTTGTCTCACATTTAAGCTGTGTTTTTCTATTTGAATACTTCCAATTTATGTATTTACACAACTCTATTAGCTCATTATGTAGTAAAAAAATTAGACTGAATTATTTATTTGTACTTAGTATGTTGTACGGTTTGCTTGTTTTATCTCTGTCTCTCTTTTACTTTTTTTTTTATTTTTTTTTCTTTAATAGCTTGGTGCTTCTAGAGTCCAGTTTATCACTTCAACTGTATCCTTTGTTCATAGTCCAGTGGGTTTGACTACTTGTAAGACAGCCACTATTCAGAACACAGGACACAAYCATGCATACTTCAAAGTAAGAAAAAATTATTTCTAGCACACTTAATTCCTTAGGTTGGGGAGCAGAAAGGAGTTAATTTTACCAGATCATGTTATGGTTTGGTGTTTTCAGTTATTAAATATGCACCTATTTAGGTTTTTGTGATGTTTTCTGTAGAAACACAATTTATATCAGTAGGAATTCTGTCTTTCTGTCAAATTTGCACTGATGAGATGAACAGACAAAGTGGTGATGGCTTAAATGATTCTGGCAGCTCCATGAGAGCCAGGGGTGAGGGTAGAACCCCTACTGGGGTACTCTATGGAAAAGCAGTTAGACCTTGGCTGTTTTCCTGCACTGAGATGGAGTAAACTGTTTGCCCATTCTGCCCAGTCAGTGCCTGCAGGGACCCAGGGCAGTCACAGCACATGGGATGACTTTGCTAAACCATCCCCTGGGGCAAGAGGGGTTGTGCAATGAATTGGATAAGGGATGAGATGGATGCCAGAGTGGGTTAAGACATAATACAAAAATTAGTAGGAAACCTAACCTCTGATTAGTTTTCCTGATCACAGGATAATTGCTTTATTTWGTGAAGCAAAATAATTTTCATTAAAATGCTCAGACTTTTTGTTACTGYATTATTGCAGTACTAAGAAACATGATTAATTTATTTGGATTTGTACCGTATTTCTCTATTTATCATCTGAGCATTGAATAACAAGTAGTACTGTAGTCTTGGAGGATGGGCCTGAAAGAATAAAATCAGCACAGTCAGTAACACAAACAAAAATACCCAGCCTTTTTTAGCCTCTAGAATTACTCTTAAGCTGGGACATGACTGATTGGTATTGGTCATTATTACCTGTGTAACTATACTTTAAAAAGCTATCTCTTTGGAGTGCATTATAAGAGAAAAAAATTCTTTATTGTCTTTGCTAACTGTGGCTAAACTGAGTATTTACTCCTGATATTATTAATAAGCTATACAGAATTGGGGATCTGTGTCTCATATTCTTACTGTAAATATCAAAAAAGCTAGATAGCAAGTCTTAATTTTAATAATATTAAGAAAACAACTCAAAATCCAGAATGTCGAGTTTCCAATAGTTGGCAAAAATTATTTCATAGTAGAAACTGACAGTTATGTTTAGAAATCTTAATTTTGTTTACTTGCATTTTCCCCAAACTTCTAAGTCCAAGTAAACATTATATGCTGTGAAGGTTCTCCTTGTAAGAATATAAAATCTTTATRATAGATATATTGGTATAAATAAAACAACAAATAATTAAAACAAATTAATACAAACACCTTTTTCAGTATGTTTCTTTTTTGTGTTTGTGAAGGTTCTTGATCTAAACCCACTGCCTGGAATGAAAATCACYCCCTGTGAAGGAGTGATACCTGTGGGAGGCCTTGCTGATCTCAAAATCTCCTTCACACCAACAGCATACTTGAATTTTGATAAAAAAGTGGAGGTATTCAAAAATAGAAGAACTTTGTGTTTTGAGTGTTATGCTTTATGTTTATGTGTGTATCTTTTGGATTTTATCTCCTGTATTCTAATGCCTTTTAAGAACAAGGTTTGCAGCAGATCATTACTGCTGTAACCTATTCTGTTTTTGTCTCAGTCCAACTCAGAAGTATCAGAGCAACCTCTCAGCTAACTGATATTGTACCACCAACAAGCTGTTGAAAGTAATGTGTGATTGTTCTTTATGGGATAACATAGACAAATCTGCAGTTTTTGTAATCTGTAGAGAGGCAGAATTACAATATTCCAATGTCTTTGATTTCTTAACTTCTTTTTATGGTCTTCTCAGGGATGGTAGATTTTCTCGGATAATAGGTGTGCAATAAACATGTAATGTATTTTGCTTTCTGCATGCCTGCTTCCTGAGATAAGTGTGATTAGGAAAAAGGATACTGTTAAGGGCCAGAACTTTATTACCTTTTCTGACTCTGATCCTGGATTCCATTTTCCGTGGCTGCATATGTTATGTTTGTTAAACCTAGAATCCAGTAACTTTCTTTCATTTTTATACCAGATTTAATATTCCCCAGAATAACAGTGTCTACCTTGTACCAGCATCTCTTTCAAGCAATGTGTGYTGTGATACACATTCCATTCCTCACAGCTGCTGAATACAGCTTCTTTCTGTTGGAAAAAAACTGCTCATTCTAGTAATACACCCTCCTGCACCATGATTTTTTTCTGCAGAAGTGAGGAAGGCTGGTCAATGGTCTTTCTCACAACTTTGGATTGTGTTTTTTTGTTTGTTTGGTTTTGGTTTTGTTCTGTATTTTTAATTAACATCTATATCTATCTATCTATCTATCTATATCTATTCCAGATGATGTGTTATGCCACAAAGGCATGATTTGAAACCATATATAAGTGTATTTTGGAAAATGAAGGCATTTTATTACCTCTTCACATTTCCACAGAAAAAATGCATTATATTATAAGGGCAGAGTTATTTTCATATTTTCATTAAAAAATTATGCTATCTCTCTCTGCTCTGTATCTGTGGGGTAGGATTGGTTTGGTTTTTTTTGTGTTAAACTTTTTTTCATGCAATTATGACAGTTTTGGTGAGATAGTTATGTTGAAATGACCTTTTCCACAGTCCCAATGTTGTTCCTTCACTTAGGTRGCAGTACGGAATGCAAGAGAACTTGTGTTTAGGATTGCTGGATTTGTAGAGAACCCTGATATAAACATTGATGTGGTAAGTGTGAAGAAATTGTAGCAATTGGTAAGATTTATTAAATATTTTGCTTTATCTAGATGTCAAAGTGGCTCCTCACTACTTCATATTTTTCATTTCTTCCTATATGAACTTCCCAAGAAAAATRTCAAAGAGGAGAACTTAGGGAGAGGTATTAAAACCCAAATATACTTGTAAGAGTTGCACTAAAAGATAGCTGACAGCTTTAGTTTTTGAACTTGACAGTCTGGAATAAGTATGTTAAAATGGAGAGGATTTCTTAAGGTAGCAAAAATTGCAATAAAGTGAAAAGCAATTCACTGATATGTTCACTGAATGATGAAAACTTTTCTGATGGTGTAACTGGACATGATTTTAAAATCTAAACKCTTGTAGTTTATGTCCTGGAAAGATTTTAAAGATAAGGTTTATGTGAGACTATTGATTAACCAATTACTGTATTATAAATTCAGAATATTGCACAATTATTTTTTTCATATTATGTTCAATTATAAATTTGACTTCACAGTGCTTTGACCCATTTTTTTWAAATTTAATCTTACAGGAACTATTTGAATTTGAAGGCATTTATATTGGCTCTACAAAATCAATTCCATTTTTGCTGAAGAACCAAGGACAATCATGTACCAGAGTGGAGTTTGATTTTTCTAAGTATAGGGATTTCAAATTGACTATTCGTGACAAATCAGGTATTTGTTTTTGCTATATCAGAATTTTCATGAAATAAAGAATGAATAATGTTGAGAGAAAATCTGTCACTGTTTCTGGTTGACAGATTTTCTSATATAAGAAAGTCTAAAGACATTTTGGTTTGCCTGTAAGATGACATTGCACAAAAGTAAGTATTTACAAAATGTCAGGTTGCCTGTTGATTTTTTCCCCAATTTCACTCCCCCACAGTTGCTAAGGTGTAATGAAAATTTTGAATACCCTCTCACCAGTTAAAATAAAATATTWAAAAAACTCAAACAAAGCCAAACAACTGTAATAATTTCCTATTCATGGACTCATACCTTCTTTTWGACAATGTTTATCCTTTGGTTAATTCATCAGTGTAAAGGTTCAGACCTTTCTTTGTCCCAAAGGACAGGGTGTCTTCAGGTTAGTCACAGGACCTCTGTTCTGCATAAATGGCCAACTTGGAATGTTAGCAGTGGAATTGCATTGCTGTTGCTTTTTTCTTGGTAGAATTGTTGCAGATTCTTATCCTGCAAGTTGTTGCTTGTGGCTTTCCTACTTCAGTCATGGCATCTCCTTGGGTGTTTCAACACCACTGTTCACAAGAGAATTTTACAGCTTTGCTTATAATGGCCTCTTTTCCCTGCAAACTCAGGAAAACAAGATTCTTTCTTTTGTGAGACAGTATTATAAAATTTAATTGTATCTTAATTTGAACTGTGTGTAGATGATGCAAAAAATGATCTGACAAAATCAGAGGAGTTTTCTTACTGTGTGGTGCACTTCAWAGGGAAATGAAGGTGAGGGCTGTTAGTCAGTCATAACTTGGAAAAGAACTRTGAGAATTTATAAAGCAGGCAAGCAGCCAGCATGGGATCAGACTCATTACACATAATTTCTAGATTAGAGTTTGTGCTTGAAACCAGTTATGTSATATCCAGTCAGGTTCAGTAATGGTCAAATGGGGAATACTGGATGAATATTCATCCTGGTGTTCCATGATGGATACTGATCTTGGAGGAACATTATCTTTCTTGGAAACCTRTGCTTCTGCCAGTGCCTTAAAATTGGACATGGAAGTCTGACAAATAAAGCAAGCTTTGTTGGTAAATTTCTGAAATTTAAAYTATGCCTGAAAGTAATTTTAAAAACCCCAGCATCAGCCTACTATTTTTATCCCTGTGATATTAATTCATTATGTAATTTACTATTTTACCCTAACACTTTTACTCAGAGGTAAATGACTGTGTTCTTTTGGTTTTTTGTTTTTCTGAAATATTGTGTTCTCTCAAATGAATACTTCCATGAAMATTTTGGTGACTAATACTGCCCCAAATTACCTCCAGAATCCTTATGAGAGATACTATATTCCATTGTAACTTTGTGAGAAATGCTTACTMTACAAATATGTAGATACTTTATACTGAAAATCACTGTGAAATACTGCAACTATTATAAAGTTRATGTTTCATGCAATAACATCTGTAATTTGATTATGAATTTTGTTTGGCAGTGATTGAATATCCTCCTTCAAAGCCTCATTTCTATTCAATTGACTTAAAGGAAAGGTCATCTTTGCAATGTTTCTTGGTCTTCTCACCAAATCAGGTAGGTTGTATGGAACAGTGGTGATTATGTAAATTAAAATCATACTCTTTGATATTTCTGTGGTGGTAGAATACAGACTTAAGATGAACATTTTAGTGTGCACAATAGTTTTGTAATTAGTAATTCAATTCTTAAGAAAACAAGTTCTGAAATAAGCTCTGTATCTTTAAATGTTTGCATACACAAAGAAAACACACTTTTTTGATKACTTAAAACTGGTGTAAACTAATACTGAAGTGTTCTAGCACATGTTCATTAAATATTTCAACAAACCAGCAGCCACCTTCTTTTTGCAGCTGTTCTTGCCTTAACTCTCKGATGACCAAGAGACTTAAAAAGTAGATGAGTTTTATGTGTTATAAAGATTGGCAAAATTKCTTTCTGTTTGAGGTATTTGAGGGGCAAAAAATTGAAGATATGAGAGTTTGGGTTAGTTTTACATCTGAAAATTAGCATTTTATTGGCAGTAACTGCCACAAGAGTGCTCTTGYAAATTTTAAATCTAACCCTATGGAAAAATGCCATGGAAATTAAAGGTTTGTGGTTTCCACACATTTGGAGAACAATGAACTGAAATAAAACTTAGCCTTTGGTATCATTAAGCTTCAGAACAAGCAGCTGGTGATCACTTCTACAACATATGAATCCACTGCATAATCTGCATTTTTTCCTTAGGAAAGTAGATGAATATCAGAGATGATTCATCTTAGAAGGGTCAGGAACATTCTTTTTCCACCACCACTCACCTCCCACTCCTGACTTGTCCACAGTATGCAATGGAATTCCATTGTTCAAAGCATCATTCAAATAATTGGATATTACAGGTTGTGTCTGGTATTGTAATCTGCACACAGATTTTCTTCTGTGTACACACAGAAGCTATTGGAGTGGCTTTGTAGCACATAAACTTCTCTGAAATTCTTTTTACTGACAGAACATGTGTCAATAGATCCATAAAAAATTCCTTCTTTAGTATAACAGGCCTTGAGTTAATAGAAAAGGAATAGTTGTCATATTTTTTTATGAATCTTGACACTTGTAATGGAACACTCTTTATCAAGGTAGTCAGAATTAGACTTCATACAGTGCCAGGAAAGTATGTAATTGTTTGCAAAATGTTACTTTCAGAATATCATGAGTGACCTATAATCAAACTGGAGAGAAACTCAGCAAGGGAAAATGCAGACATTTTCCTTTAAGTAGGAAGGGTCAATAACGGGAATGCAGGAGTAGACAATGCTGGTGGAGTAATCTGTCTGTTATTGCAAGCCACAAGCTGAATGAGAATTAAGAGTAGAGATTTACCACAGCAATAGGAGTAAYATTAATAAAGCCAGTAAAATAATTATTCTAATCAGGGCTGATAAYCCTTCAGCTGCACACTTTTCCCATKTGRAATGCCATATTTAWAGAAAGAAGTGGGWCAATTCCACTTGGAAAGAARGTGCAAAAAAAAGCAATGGAAATCAGCAGAACTCTATTTCCCATTGTTATATTTCAGCCCTGTTCCTATTTCCTTGTCAAGTTACATGATGGATTAAAAGYGGAAATGTTGCTACTGACAACTGCTGTAAATTGAAGTGACTAACAAAATTARTATTTCTGAAGAATGCTGAAATAGTAGCTTGCTCTGTATGCTTAATTTAGTATGTCACCTGAACATAGTGTTCAGTATTGCTGTTCATTATTGATGAGCWTGTCCAGCTGCCATTTTATACTGGTATACACTGACTTAAACTGCAGGCAAAGTTTTGCCAGTTGAAAGTCTGCTTTAATTGTGGTGTAAATTTGGAAAACCAATAATTCTTACATTTGACTAGATTGGTTTTGTGACTGTTCTTCTCAAAAAAAAAAAAAAACAAAAAAAAGCCAAACAAACAGAAAAAAAAACCCATAAAAAACAGAACAATCCAAAAAAGGCTATAGAATATTGCATCTCTTAATTACTGAGTGTTTTTCAAGTCTTAAGAATAATTTTTGGCAAACAGAATTAACTTCCTTCAGAATGAAGGAAATAAAAACTTGGAAAAGGAAATTTTCCTGGGGCCCCTCATAGCCAGCTAATGTGTTGCTTTAATTAAATGTCTTTACTAGTTTCCCTTCTCCGCAAGTGCTCAGAGCATTTCTGTCTGCCTTGTCTCTTGGTGCTGGGTAAGMTGGGTGCAAGCAGTGCCTCCCTTCTGCTTCCAGTGCATCACTGCCTGTCAGGAGCAGCTCATTCCTGGGCAAGACATGCCCAAGGATCCTCACAGCTTCCAACCCCCTGGTACTCACAGGTGAGCACCCCGAGYTGGTGCAGCACTGGCACAGCAGGCAGCAGCAACACTGACTGATGTTAAATGAAGTTGCCCAGTATGGCATGACTATAGACAGCATCTGGAAGTATATGTAACCCCCAGGATGCTGCAGCTTTCTTTTMATTTAACTCCTGTAAAGTACACTCCTAATTAAAAGCAAAGTTCTGTTAAGCAAGTGGYCCAAGTATTAGCATGTCTTATTGCAATCAGAAACTCTCTGTAGTTACTGATTCTTAAAACATTTTCCTTTGGATCTGAGCTCGTAATTATTCTACCTCATCTATATTCACCATTTTCTCACCAGATTTCTTTCCTGATTTTCCAGTTTTGAAAAAAAAAACATCTCTAATCTCTGTATGTTGGGTTTCCCCTATTCAGGTTTCACGGTTGCAAGTGCTATTTCCTGCCTTTCTGCACATGAACAGCTGTTTCTGTGATCTCATCTCTGGTTTTTTTTTGACAACTGCTCTTCTCCAGCTTACCTCCCAGCTGCTAGAAACCTTCTGTATCCCATCGACTCACATTCTTTTCTGCCTTCTGGTTTTACTAGAACTTCCTGCTGTTGTAGTCATTACTGACAACTCTACCCTATAAACCAACAAACCCCCGCTATACTGATGTTTTCCTTCACAAAGTGGATACTAGGACTAAGGAAAAGTAAAAATAATTCAGGAGCATAGCTGAAAGCATTAAAAAGGCATGAAATTATTTTAATGTACTTAAAAAATTTATTAAAGCTACTTGAATTATTAATGTTAGGTTCCAAGTAATTTAGTCTTGAATGCTAAATTCTTTTTAARAATTCTGCTAAAAAACCTTTCAGATCAACAAATGCAGTAAATGTATAGGAATTTTGAAGAGCTCCTGCAATTCTCACTAAATATGTATTAATACATGGGACAACAAAAGATGCTCTTAGAGATGAAGTGTCTTGGCATGCTTAAAAAATAAACCTTAAAAAATATTGAGCYAATTCTTTCAGTATTCTGAGTAAGAAAATGGAGTTCCATGCATTATAGATAAGGCTGGGATGATGCTCAGACACAGTGTGTTATTCCAGTGTCTCTGAAGGTGTTAGAGGTGACAGAGCTCTCCACCTCACTGCAGAGACTTTAACCTTAGTGTTTGGTGGCTGTGGAAGTCAGAGCTGTTGGTGACAGCACTATTTGTATATTTGTGTTTCTGCAGGCAGGATGATCTCTCTGCTCACAGGGGTTCTGCAGAGTCTGCTGGGGAAAGCATGCAAAGCAAAGTGCAGGAGGGCAGTGCTTCAAAATGACTTCTTGTGTCTTTCAAAACCCTGCTGGAAAATAACAAATTCCAGCATCTTGGAAAAAGGACAAAATACACAGCTGTGTAATAATGAAGCCTTCTAGTGYCTTTGATTGAGATAAATAGAACAAGTCACACCTGTCAGAGCTTATTGCTTAAGCTTGCTGTRGGGAAGTGACAGGTGTTTTGGTGGGCTTTTTTGTCCCTTTAAATGACTTTTTTTTTTTTTTTAATGAACAAACAGATTTGTGATGTAAGAAGTGAATTCTATGGAGAATCTGCAGCTGTGGAAAGACAGGGTAYTGTTGGTACATCATCCCTGACCATATACAAAGGAAAGATTTMAGTTTATTGCAGTGCTTTGAATGATGGCTTTGAACAGCAGTTACATTATTCATTGTGGAGCTGCTTATCTGTGATATAAACCTGGGGAATTTAGGCTGCATGAAAGMTTTCAGTATGTTTTAAGGGAAAGCTCACGTTAAATTTGAGAGAAGGCTGGGAGTGCAGCCTCATTGGATTCAGTTCCATGACATAAAAAATAACGTTTATTTTTGAAATTTAAACCTTTGCAGTTAGGTTTAAATTTGATTCAAACTGTTCTTTTCTAATGTACATTTCATTTTGTCTCCTTGTATCAGTGCTGAATTTGTGTGTTTGGGTATAAATAAAAAAATCCTTTAATGTCAACTTTTAGCATTTAGCATGCTTCAGGATATTTGAATAATCTGCATGGTATTGTATGATAAATACAAGAGTATTATCTTTTACAGATGTTTTAATTTAATTTTAAGTAATAATATRGCTTATTGATTTACATGCAATTCCCTGTGAAAGAAAGTGCTGTAATTATAGGGAGATGTCACATATTCTTTGCCACACAAAGAATATGATTTCTGAATTGGATAGCAAAATTTTCATTAACCTTGAGAATATATACTCTATTCGAATAATAATTAGAAAATTATATTTTAAACTTTCTAAGATRCATTATTGTCTTGGAATAATTAGTAAAGATAGAAATGAAGTAACTGCTTTGAAAGTGTTTTTGGAAAACAACAATTTTTTTTTCTACTCTCAGATTACCACCTGAAGACTGTGCTCAAGTTTATTTTTTATCCATGAATTTTATATAAAATATTATTTTGTCATGTTTGATGGGGCTTTTTTTCCCTCTTTTTGTTTCTTGTCTTATACCAGGTATTTGGGGTAGGAAGCCATTCAGCCATGTTTGCTCCCCAGTGTTGTGCTCAGAGCTACCAAACTCTTTGTATCAAACCTAATTCATAAATTCAAGCAGAACTTTCTTATTCTGACAGATTCTTTAAAATGGACAAGTTTTATTTTTTTATTAATTCTAGCAAAAAATTATAAGTATTTTAAGATCCCTCTAAATAAAATTTACAGAAATATTACTTTATTTAAGGACTTGTTAATTTCTGGTGGCAGCCTAACCATCCATCCCTTTTCTGGGATCCATTGGAGGTGTTCCATATGAACACATAATKAAAAGCTCCTTTGTCTCATCTGTCTTTTTAAAGCTTCTTTTGAAKTGTTTTAATTCTGAGACTCTCACTTTGTAGATGATGCCTGCTTTCCAATCAATGTGCATAATTAGTGTACATTAGGACAGGAAAAATKCTGAACATAATGATATTAACAAACAACAGTGTTTGTGAAAGAACTCTCTCTAGGCTGCTTCCTTTCCTGCCCTTCCCATGTTCTCTGGTGTGTGAGGTTAAATGCAGCTTCAGGAAAATAYCTCAATACATAAGTAACTATAAAGTATTCATAAATTATCTAAAAGGCGAGTGTAAGTCCAATAATAGTCTAAGGATTTATTTTAAAAATATTGTAATTAGTTTTTTAAGTATGTAATCTTGCAAAAGGGAATTTTCTATTATGGAGTTTGAAAAATGAAAAATTAATCATAAAGAGTTTTTTAATATTTATAGAAAGAAACATAATKATTCTACTTGCAAAGTGAAATCCTAATAACTGAAATTAATTTTTAATTCTGTTTCAGCAATATGTGTATGTGTATGAATTATGTTTTCMACTTATATAGAATTTTTAAAGGATTTTTCATTTGTAATGTAATTTAGATAATGTGCAGTTAATGTATGAATAAAATAAAAGATCTATGATTTGTTCTCAATTATATAATTTCATTTTGATGAATTATGTTGGCTCTGAAAATTTGCACCATTGTAATTCATAGCAAATGTAGGTTTTTAGTGAATGTCATGATCTACATGTAGTGAATTGAGTCTTTCATGTATTTGCTTTTGTTTACCAGTTCTTAGAAAATAACCCCCTTGTTGCATAGTTAGACAAAAACAAATTTTCCTGATAGCTGGGATGAAAAACAGGTTTTGATTTGCTGCTTTGGGAGAGGGATAAAGGGATTCCATCTTTTGTTTTCTGACCTAAACATAGCAGCATTGATGAAGAACAATTGCAGTGCTAAACTGCACTCCTTTGCACAGCCAGTGCTGTCATGATATCTATAACAGACTAAACATTTTAATCTCACCAAACTTAGTTTTTTTACAAGGACATATTTTGAAGATGTAACTTGATGAAGTATCATGATGTGGGTGACTTGAGGTACTAAAAATAGAAGAGCATGTAAATCAAATCAGGAAATTCTTACTCGATCTTTTTTATGACATATCTTGAGCATTAGTTACCAAAAAAATTTAAATGTTTATTTTGAAAAGCCAGTTATATATTATAAAAACTAATCATTATTAGATTTGAAGTATCAATATAAAACAGGGGACTCTGGTGATCTCGCTACAAAAATTTGCCYTCATTCCATGCTTTCCTTGAGCTAAGCACAAATAGACAAAACGTTCCTGGCTTAGGACGATTTAGTTTTTCYTTCCTGTTATTTATGTATTCCACTTGCTACCACAGATGTGAAAGTGAAGAATGATGCACTATTTTGTGCAGTTTTGGAAAGCTTTTAAACGATTCATAACATCTTTATATAGCTGGTTTTACTGCTTTTGTTAAGCAGCATGAAGATTTTATAGGTCTAATTCCTTTCTGAGATTTCAGTGGCCTTCAAGGTGAAAACAGAATTTGAAGGACTCAAACAGTGGTTCTAGTGCAGAAGTTTTGGGGTTTTTTTTTACCATTACTTTTATTAAAGTTATCCACACCTTTTGTCTGGAGAGCATGCCATCTTAATGTGTTGGTCCTTGGAAAGACAGAGCTAGAGTCAAGAAATATCTCCTTGAAAGTGCATTTTGAAATAAATTTGGCTTTTCTGAGGCCACAGTATGTCAAAAAAAAAGTATTCTGTTGCAAAACTTGCCAACTTTTAAGTTCTGAACCCCACTTGGGAATGTGATGGCAAAGATAAAATGAGGATCAAAATCACTGGAATTTAGACTCCTAGAATTCAGTGACATTTAATGACAAAGGTTTTAAGACTAACTTTTCCCCCAGGATTTCTCAGTTTTAACCCATGCTCCAGCTTTGATATCAGAGTCCATTTTGTTTATTCTGGGTGTACTGTAATGGTTGACTTTTGCTCTTCAGCCTTTKAGAAAGGCTTCCATAACTTGTGTAGCTTCATTTTCCCTCCTCTTTGCTCAGAGGAGCTTCTGCGTTTGGACCACGGCTCCAGACTTTTTTCACTCATGAGAGTGGTGGAGTGTAACACAGCCCTATGATTTCCCAGAGGCCTTGTCTGATATTTTTGGTCATAGAGCTTTTCCTTAAAGAGGGAAAAATAACCTGGGCTTTGCTTACTTGGAGAACTGATTCTGAGTTCTAATAAATTAACATCCTATTAATATCATAATCAGGTCCAAAATTGCAATAATCCTGCAGAAATAGTAAACCACTCAGATGGTTCAAGAGGTACCTATGATTTCTTTGGGAAAATGACCACAACGATTTTTTTTTTTCTTTTTTTCCCTTTAGGTGGCAGTATATGACTTYGTTCTTCCAATGGTTATTCCCCGGGTCAGTTCTGCACCTGCAGCTCCTCCTGTGCCTCCGAAACGCAGCAGCGATCCTGAGCCACCCTCATCCACTATGGGTTTTCCATTCTGTAGGGTCAGAGCAATTGGTGGGTAAACYAGGACCTTAAAGACCTGCTGGATACTTGGACTTGGAGTGATATTTTAGCTTTTCAGAGAATTGATACTTAATTGGAGTTTGTTCAGTTTGCACATTTATTGGAAACTTGCAAAATTTGTAAGTTTTGATTTGTGTTTTTAAATATGCTTAAAGCTGAACTTTCTATACAAAATTATGGCATGGGCATATAATTATACAAAATTATGGCATGGGCAGAAAATATTTTTTTAGATAGCCATTTGCCTTAAATAAAAATAGTGTACCAAAACTCTTTTTTGTTTCTACCCATTTGTTAGTATTTCTAGGCCTCATCATGCAAATTGCATGCCAGGAATKACAGTACTTTCCTCTGAAAAGTATAGAAAAGTAGAATGTTAGTCATACTTATTTTTAGTCTTCTCCTGTCAAAAGTATGATCTCTAGCTGTATTTAAAACTCCTTTAAAATGCCTCTGAATGGCCCTGATCCCATCTGTCTTGTCAGAGGTTGTTCATAGCCAAAGTTACAGGCCATTTGCCTGCAGCAAAGAAATTGATATCTTAAATAATTCCTCTCTRCTTTTCTCAGAAATAATTTGTGGTTCTCTTTAGTCTCCTGTCTTACTCTTACACTCACRTAGATGTATAAATGGTGAATATTTGAATACAATGGCCTTCCTAATCTCAATTTTTAATGTATAATCACTATTTATTTGAGATGAGAGTAAAGTACAGAGTGTCTTCCTAGAATGAATTTTGTATAATGTTTAAACCTCTTGGTTGTTTTCCTCCACTGAGGAAGACCTAGCCAAATAAATGTGTAATGTGAGGTTAAAGCAATTCCAATTTATTAGGTTTGGTCTATGTTTGGATTTTTTTTYCTTTGTTTTTCTGTKTAGCTTTAACTTATTTCTTTTGAGATCTTTTAAAATATCAAAGAAATCTGAGAGACTTTCTTTAGATCCTGTTATGGAAGCAAATTAATATTGAATTTTTATAAAATATGTTTAATTTAGGAATTCATAGAATAAAGATGAATGTACATATATATATGAGATTATTAAGAAACACATCTCTAAGTAAAAATATTAATCCAAGTCACAAATTTGTAGTGCAGAAGTGATTTAAGTAATGTGAAGAAGAAAGAAAACGTTTATTTCCTTTTCCCTTTCTTCATGAAATAGATGCAGTCATTAAATCGACTGGATAATTGACACTCTTACCAAATTTTATCACAAATTCGTATTTCTGCTGTGTAGAATTTTTTCAAATTTTTACATGTGTAGGCCAAGAATCTCTTTTTGATTATTTTTTTTTTAGACAAAGTTTTCAGACTGTTTCAGCACCTGGGAAGGAAAGCAGGTCTCTTACTTAAATACAAGATTTTTCCCTTGGAACGTGTTTATGTAAGAACGACCTGAAAGAGAAAAATCTGAAACAAATCAGGATAGARAATTCAACTGGAAAAGACACAAGCCTAATCTCAGCCTGGTACAAAGGAAGAGTTTGTATTTTCAGTGTAATGGCCTCATGGGAGCTGACACATGTTTTAATAATCCATCTTACAATCTTTTTTTGGTTGGGAAGATAATCTCCTTTCCTTCAGCRTTTCAGTTGTGCTGCATTCTCCTGATACAGGCAGTTTCTGAGAGCTGAGGACTTTGTGATTAACATAGTTGCTTATTGGTGGAAGCGTTCCAGCAGATTCTGTTACTTTGAAACAAGAGTACTTTAGAGAGTTTATGTGCACAGAAATACAAATAATATTGTTTAAATAATGTGATATATGTGATTAGGAAATTCTGTGGGTTTTTTTAGGAGGAGAAGAGAATTGATCAACATTGGGCAGGGAGCAGACTTGCAGATTTTAATAAAAGAATCCTGTGTGCTTGCTAGGTTCATTTCCAGTATTGTTTCCAAAAAGTAAGATGAGGCTCTGGGCACACAAACCTTTGTTTTTGAAACTCCCACTTTAAAACTTCATCCTTTGTGATGATTTCTTTGCTGCAGCTCTATGAAATGAAGAGAAACGCTGTTTAATACAAAATCTTCCAAGTCTGGTCTAATGATTACCATCAGAATTATAAGTACATTTATCTGCAGTAGGGAAGATCATGTAGCTCTCGTGATATGAAGGAGAAGTGCTGTATGTCTGGTAGATATAAAACCTAAATAATTTTAATGTGACTAAATAATCACAGGATGGGACAAAGTTAAATTAAAATAATCATGGATATATATCGTATAGGAGCAACATAAAAGGGAGAAAATTTTCTTACTAAACATGTGCAAAGATTTTATGAAAGTTCTTTGAGAAAATATGTCAAATGACATAAACATTTTAAATATTATAAAGATTTTATAATATAAAGATTTTAAATTATGTTTTTCAATAGCACTTGGATTACTATTGGAGTTCTCTGCAATGGAACTTAAATTTGAACAACATTCAAGTAACATGAGTTTCAATGTTGCTGATCGGAATGTGGAATCTCAGGTAATGACATCGCCATTGTCATTTGGTTCAGTTTTGGATTTCATCTTTGTCTTTTAATCACTATAAATGTTTCCAAAATCTGAAATTGGGCTTGTGCTAACTCTAACAATATGAGTGTGTGCATCATGAGCAATTAACTATTGTGTTAGTTATTATAAGTTATTGTGTTATTGTGTAAGAAATAGATATAAACAGAGTCATTCTGAAGATCTTCTGTGTCTGCCTATGCCAGTAAAGGAGACAGTGATGCTGCCAGGATACAACTGATTTGTGCCATGGTGGACCACACAGTGAAACTGCTGTGCTTTGGTTGGTACTGACTGCGCCAACTGACACTCCCAAAAAAACCTTTGTTTTAGGGCTTAATAGGAAAAAAAGGCATTAAATAGAATATTTATAACACAGGTAATTTGTATGAATGCAAAACATGCCATAACAGAAATGCCTGAGGGCTTTGTTGTAAAGGATAAAAAGTTATTTTGGCAATGATGGAAAGACTTGAAATGCTTTTCCAAGTGCCTTCAGGAAACAATGGTAATACAAAGTCAAGTCATTTTTTTAGCCAGGGATGTTTCAAAAGCTGAGAGAGTAACTGAGATAAAGGATTTTTTTTTTGTTTCCACTGTCATCTTATTGAATTGAAAGAATGGGTTATGAAAACCTGTTCTGAACTTCCATTTTCAGCATCTCCACCCGTAAGTCTAAATGTGAGCCACCCGTTCAGTGCTTGCTGTGCTTCATTTTTATCAGGAATAAGTCCTCAATTCTGTTTGGCTAAGCACTCCCACTGTAATGCTTTGATTTATTTACCTCACATAAATGAGGTTTTTCCATTCTAGAAAGAAAGTATTCTCTTTGTGAATGTGGTGAGTGTCTGGAAAGCATCTAGTCTGTGCAGAGAGGCATGCTCACCTTTGCAGTTCACAGATATAAGGAACTGAGTTCTTCATTGCTTTCTGATGCTGTCTTGCTTTCCCTCTGATGTGGTTGCACAAAGAATGTTTAGGAGAGAGTAATGTGAAAAGTATCACCATGTTTGCTGCTTCCCCTCTTTCACGATCTACTCCTTTTCTGAAAATATTTACAGAACTTTGTYGTGAAGAATGTCTCAGTACAGGATGTGGGATGGAAATTGAGTTTTGATGATGAAGACAAAAATATAGAAGATGGTATTTTCAAATTTGATCTGAAGGCTGGACGTCTTCCTAGAGGACAAAAAATCAAGATTAMTGTGTTTTTCTGCCCTCGTAAGTATTTTTATGAATTCCTCTATAGATAGTTTGAGTGTTTTCATAGGTATGTTTTAATGGGTTTTTATGATGAATCAATATTAGTACTGATTTTGGTCAACGTAAGGTTTTTTTGGTTCTGAAAAAATCAGAACCAAAGACAGCTGCAGGCCTCACAAAAAGCATAGAATCACTGTTTTTGAAATTGCATTATTTGARAAGTTTGCTTTGCACATAGAGTGCATAATTTTTTTCTACATAAAGTTTCAAAGGCTGGAATAGCTGTATCATTTTCARTGCTGCTTCTTCAGGTGCATTTACATTGACTGACTTAGGTAATAAATTGTTCCAAGGGTACTTGAAATGCATGTGAACCTTTTTCTGGGTAGCCATAATTCAGATAAGAATAGAAATTTCCTACTACAATGAGATATAAAATCACTTATCTATGGTATTTTTTGAAGTAGACTGCTCAGGCAATGAGTCCCTAAGAAAAATATGTAAAATAGATTTCTAACAAAGCTTGGGAGCATGGTAATCAACCACATAACTCCAGAAAAGGAATAGAAGAGTAGGAAAATTAGGATTCTACTTCATTTTGAGCCAAGTGTTTAGGGTAGACAGTGATATACAAGATTCATGGATTCATAGGGTGTAACACTRTATTTGAGCTGATAAATCCCACCAGCAAATGCAGCTGAGGCCCACAGAACCCCATCCTGTTGATATTTTCAGTGCWGTGCTTTTGGGGCTGCAGCATTGTCAAGGGGAAGAAAAGTTGTGTCAATTGGATCTGATCCTGATTCAGCAAGTGAGCATCCCTCTTCTAAAGAAAGATGTTGGTGTTACTCTTTATCATAGCATTGAAATCTCTAACTTYGATTAGGCACTGGAAAAAATGTAATATAAATAAAGAAAAATATGAATTTAAGACTTTTGCCATGACTCTGTATGATAAATTGAGAAGACTGCATTAAATATCGTTCTGTAAATGTGAATATGAAAGAGCAGTGTTTATTTGCACGCATCGCTTGGAGTTGCTTTTTTTGCAGACTGTGAAGCAGAGAACAGCATAAAAATAAAAGCCAATRTTTTGAATTACTGGATAAATTGCATTTGTAAATGCAGATGTGTATATATGTAAATATTACTGATAAATTACTGTAATTTGAAGTTATCTGTATTTTTGCTGTGTTCCCATATCTTTTGTTGACAGAAAATCATAAATAACTGCAAAGATCAATTACCCTTAATTCAGTGTTCTAAGTATTTTCCCATGATTTATAGCCTATTTGTGCTGTACCTTCAGTGAATATCATTACTCTTTTTAGTAAGAGAGCATTAGGTACATGAAAACCCCCAGAGACCCATTTAATGAACATGGGGTGCTAATCACCTTCATAGATTTGTACTGGWAAGTTGTGGTATGTGGGGGGTGAACAAACCTTAAAATGAACTTTGAGTATGCATTAGGGTAATTTGTTTAGGATAATTTATTTAAATWTGCTGCAGCAGTTATGATAGAGTAGAAAATGCTTTAGTAAACTGCAGTGTTTAATTAAATGGAAGAGCTTATGTGTGTGGTAAAATGATGCTACTCGTTAAAMAACTATTCTAAAAATAGAGATTTTCAAGAACCGAAGACATATTAATATGGTCCTCTTCTGCTGTTTTATAGTGCAATCCATTAAGTGTATTAAAAAAATGTCACTATATCTAATTTTGATGTGAAAAAAAAAAATTCTCCAGCAAAGGAAGTTACAATGAATTTGTGCTTTTGGATTCCTTCACTAGGAATTCAGAGGCCCTGGAAGATGTGATGATTATATTGTGGGCACAAAAGACAACTTTGGTTGTGTGTGGTTTTTTTTTTTATTTGTTTGTTTGTTTGTTTGTTTGTTTTTTCTGCAACAGCAAGATATTAACTAGCTGTGACCTTTAACAATTTCTGTGAAGAAATTATTACTTTTTTTTTTTGGTAGGACACCTGTAAGTTCTAGCTAGCTGTGCCTTTTCTGCCTTGAAATCTGTATTTCAGTGAATGCAAATGTCTCAGTGGTGTCTATTCATGCTAAAGGAGTATAGACACAGTAACACCTAAATTAATRAGGTCCAAGGCAACTAAACTGAAAATGTGCTTTTGGGAGACAAATGCAGGAACTGCATCTAATAAAAACTTAAGAGGGTGAGAAGAGCAGATGGTGGTTTTCCTTGCTTCTCATCCACCCTAAGAAGATCGAAACCCATGCTACAGCAGACTTAATGTTTCGGGAGAAGAGAAGAATTCCTATGCAGTTCTACAGATTTTGCTAGCCCTTGACAGATTTAGATTGACAAATTTGTAAGTATCATTAAGTATCCCCAAGGAAAATTTTCACATCTGCTGGACTAGAAATTAATGGTGGTATATTAGAGTGGTAACAGCAGCCCAGGCTTTGACAGTGGTCAAGAAAGGTGTGAGGAGTAGAATAAATTCATGACTTCAGCTGTCAGCTCAGGACATAATTCTCATTAATTTCAAAGTAATTTATTTAACATGAAATATCYGGAAAGCATTGGTCCTAGACATTCCAAAACAATGAACAAATTTTAATAAATGACTGAATTCACTTTTTTTTTTTTGTCTTTGTGTCTGTTTAAAATGATAATGGTGTTGCAGCATCCTGGTGTTTCTGACTTTAACAGTAATTTATTGGTTTAGATACTGTGCTGGATTTTGATGTTAGTAAATGTGTGGAGCCACACACAGAATGATCAGGGATGCTGGATGGGCACTGTCTGTTCTTCTGCTCTTTGAGTGAGCCAGGGATTCTAGGGCATAGAAAGAATAGATGGAAAATTTGTATGAGAAAAGCTTAACACTTCTGTTTTCTAGCTTTGAAACTATGGCAAATACAAATATTTAAAACATGAGTTAATGAAAATTGCACMTTCTTTGGTACTGACATATGCTCCATGGCTTTTCTTCCTTCATGTGCTCCATCCCTATGGTATTTATTGGTTGTGGCCTTTCACTTCACCATGTGCCATGCATATGGATGAGGAGGGGACACAAGAATATGGTTTATACAGCACAGCTGCAGGACAGGCTCRTACATGGGAGGAGCTTGTATAGAACATTCTTTGTTACAAGCTTGTAAGAAATACCCTGTTTGGCTCTTCAACCATCTCCATGGCTTTTTTTTTGATGCTTTCTCGCCTTTCCTTCATAGAGGGGCCAAGTGCCAGAGGAAGATGTGTTTCTGTTGTATCAAAAACTAGAAGGAGAATATTTTTTAGCCTTCTCAGCAGTATTGTCTCCTAAAGCTGTTTTCCCTTTAACATAGAATTAGTCAGATGTTCCAAACGGTGCAGCCAGGTTCCCATCAGTTCTGGTTTTCACTTCACCATTTTCATGTTTTCTAGTCTGAAATGAAGGAATCTGCAGGTCATGTTCTGGTGACATAGCAGCTTCTGTGAAGCTATTCTGTTGTCACCTCCATTAAGAAATTAACTCTTACACGAAGGGAATAAGCCAAATATTTTGAAGACACTAGATTTTCTTCTTTTTATATGTAAACAATGACAGCTGTTTCTCAGTCTGTGAAAGTAATGATCTGAGATAATCTCAGAAGAACCCTGTTGTGTATTTTATTCAGTGACATGTACGTATTCATGCAGACACATAAAATAGAAATTATTTTTTTTGCCATGGATGTTTACTGATCTGATTGAGGGAATCAAAGKGAAAGGTGTTTTTCTCAGAAATTCAAAGATTTAATTTTTTTTGGTTGTTTTACAACAATTCATTGTAGATTTATTTCTAAATGCAGGAGTTGTTCATTAGTTTGCCCTCAAAACTGCCTATTTTGTTAGCTCTTCAGCAGTGGGAGTGTCTGAAAGTTGGGTAAATGGCACTGGATGGTTTGGAATATAATTTTCCTARTGTGGAAGGAAGCACTTTGGTCCCTGTATCAGTGAAAGAAAATGTGGTTTTCCATCCTAGAGAGAACTTCCTTGCAGCACTAAGCAAGGTGGCCTGAGAAGGGGCAGAGCACAAGGAAATCTTTATCTTTGCTGTTGTCGTGTGTTGGAGTAAACACCTGGAGAAAGATATTTTTTCATCCCTTCTATTTTTTTTTTTTTTTTTTTTTTTTTTTTTTTTTTTTTTTTTTTTTTTTTTTTTTTTTTTTTTTTTTTTTTTTTTTTTTGGTGGACTTGGCAATGTTAGGGTTGCAGTGGGACTTGATGATCTTAAAGATATTTTCCCACCTAAATGATTCTGTGGAATGGGAGATTCTCTCAGTGGAGAGTAGAACCTCCTACTGGCTTGTGTGAGGCTGCTTGATCACACTGTAGGTTTTGGTTCCATCTTTGAAATGCAGTATTTGCCTTCTTAAAAGGCACCAAGTTTGCATTGTTTTGGCAGTCAGATACTTCCAATAGTTATTCCTTTATAAAATAAACATTCTGTGTGTTAATTACTGTAATTACTGTAATTCAAAGTATGACTGCAAGTCTGAAAATTCTGCTGCTGTATTGGTATCATATATAATGGACTATTAGTGCAATAAATTAAGAACTCAGACTTTGAAAAGTTCTGACAAGTTAAAAAAAAAGTGAATTTTTGGTTTGTTACAGGCGGGTAATTTGAGCTTGCTTAACAAGTATTCTCCTGATATATTTGTGTTATGCTAAACTACATTTTGAGAAAGCAAGCAGTACTAAACTTTAAAAAAAATTAATAACAAAAAATCCAACCCAAACCGTCTTACTATATCTCCTTTACTTGCCTGCATTTATGGTAACATATATTTTTTTTAAAAAACTTTTGAACAGCTTCTCCAGGGACATATACATCTGAAATATTCTTGTGTCTAAAAAAAGAACCATCACAATACTGCCTAAGAGTGTGTGGGACTGTGAAGGCACCAAAAATCGAGTTTCATCCCCCTTTTTTAATGCTGATGCCAGTTCCTCTGGGTGTGGAAACTGAAGGAACCATCACTATCATTCCACAAGATTTTATAAGGTAAAAATCTCAAAGTAAATTTATTAAAGAAATCCTGAATAAATCCTTGGTTTTGTTCAGTTCTGAAAAAGTGAATAAATTGTTTGTGAAGGTTGGTATTAATTTTCTGCCCAGCAGAAGAATCTGCATGTTTAAGAGAAAATTAATTTAATTAATACTGTTGTGTATTCAACAAGCCTTTGTTTTGTCTTCAGACATTTCTGTTTCATGAAGTGTCTATCTTCTGATATCTTCACTCTATGAATTATATCAGAAATAAAAAATTACTATGGATAGCACAAAAATTAAAAGAGACTTACTTTGATCTTTTGTTGAGTTTAGSCAGATACTAAGATTATAGCCTTATTTCTGTTTTTCACATTGTGATAAGATACAATCTTTCTGTTGTTTTATTTTCTCTACTCCATGGGTTTGAGATGTAGCTGCTTGAGCAGTTGATGGGGTTTCCATTTTTTTTTTCTCCTTTCTATGCAAGGTTTTATTAAAAAGGACAGCAGAAATGTTTTAATCCTGTCGCTTGTTACAGTAGAAAATCTGTATATTTTTTATTTTTCTATGGATCATCCACTTAATCCTGTTGAATTTAAAATGGAGACTTTTTGTAATTTTCCTATAATGTAGCATAACCAGTATCCCAGCTATTCAAATTTTTAAGATGCTTTTCCATTTGTAATTATTAAAGAGAAGTAATGTTTGTTTGTAATGCTTATGTAGTTATCATTTAAATACCAGAATTAGAGCAAATATTTCCTGTTGTTGTAAATTAAWGAAATTACCTTCAGATTATTGTCTTGTTGTGCTGATTTATCAAGTGATTTGTCTGTTGTCAGTAATTCAGTGGTTGGAACTGAAGGGATTCCAGATGGGATCTTCTCATTTCAGAGCTGAAGCCCATGACCACATCACTGGGGAAAGCATCTWAAGTATCTTCAAAAATTTCCCCTTAATATTTCTCCTTTAAGACTTGTTTTAACTTATTTGTGCAATAATGCAGTTTAATGAATATTAATGCAGGTTTTAAATTTCAGAAGCCTGTTTATGCCTTTTGCAGCACACTTAGTAGAAACTAAGTTCTTCATTTGGATGTTGAGATATTGTGACCAGCATAAAATGTTCAGATACAATCAAAGAAAACAAACTGGCATCTAAATGATAAAAGAATTTTATTATTTTTCWGTTAGTTTAATTTGATTTGCACTTTAGAACTGAAGTTATTATTCTGTATTTAACTGTGAAAGAGTTTTGTGAATGTGTGAATCAACTTTATTACTGTAATCATGTGTCCACAAACATCTACTGTTAATTTTTAACACAGGCCATCACGACTTCGACTTCAGCTTCCTGATTTTGAATTTGGAGATGGTACCAGGATTTACCCTTTTTCTGTGCAGTTCCTTAAGGGACAAGATATTGTTCTTTCATCAGATGGCACAGCAAATGAACTGATTCTCCACATCAGCTTCAGATCATATAAGCCAATGTCACTTTTAGGGAATATATTCCTCATCGATGAAGAAGAAAACGGGTAATGTGTGCAATTCAGATTAATCTGGGGGAAGGTTCCAGACTGACAAAGCTGGATATAAGACACAAACCTCAAAATAGTTGGGTAAAGGAGTGACAAGAGTCACTCTGAAAAAAATGAAAATGGAAAGTGGAAATTTTTTTTTTTTTTCAATGAATTGTAATTCATAACTAAAAAATTCAGCTTTGATCTTCAAGGTAAAATTAATCTAAACGTCTGTTTTAAGGTCTTGTTTCAAGATCTCATTCATATCCACTGGTAACTCATCTCTCATTCATCTCTCCCTGGGATGGGATGGGATGGGATGGGATGGGATGGGATGGGATGGGATGGGATGGGATGGGATGGGAGGGTGTATGCAAGAGAAACAGAGATAGGCACTGCTGTGATTAAAAGTCATTCCTGTACTTATTATTTTCACTCAAGCAACTATTTTGAGGGTTAAATAATTCCACCCTGCAGCTTTTTTTTCTAAACATAAAACTGCATTTTATATCATTTTGATGCAAGGGTTATGGAACTTTAAGTTAYTGCTGCTTGCATTGGGTTGTATTTATATGTATGGGCTGCTTGCATTTTCTGTATAGATTTTCAGCCAAGAATTACTTCTTATTAATTTTATTCAATTCTAAGATTTAGTCATTGTRTGATTAATATATGTGTTAAAGCTTGCTGTAATTACAAGAAAAGAATAATTTAAGCTTCTGATGATGTCTGAAATGTAGCTTTTGAGCAGGCATAATATTTAGTTTTAATAACTTTTTATATGAAGCACTTTCAGCTTCTCAAACCTTGTTATAGAGAAATAAAAATTTTTCCTGTGTAATAAAATTTTTTTATACTTGCCATTAAAAGAAAATAAAGAATATGACCTTCAGCTTAAAAGAAAATGGAATATATATTTTTTTTTAAAATGTAGAAAATAAAAGTCATCTAAGTAACCTTAAAAAGCCATTCCTGCTCGTGAGGGTGAAAAAATTCATCATGTCAAATCATCTTAGAATTGCTGCTCCATTTTAAAATATAGTGCTAAAGTATTTGCTAAGGGGCAGAACTCATAACAGCAGTTTGGTGATGTATTTGGGATTTCCTGACAAGCAGTTGAGTTGTGGGCTGCAGGAGCAGGTGATATAAAACCTGAGCAAAACTGGATGAAATAACACAGCATCAAAAATTAGTTGTGTATCACTGGTCAGCGTGGTAATATTATTCATATTGGCTTTCAGAAGAAATTATTTTTATCATTACGAGAAAGAATTCTTTCCTTCAGATAGAAAAGCTTGAGTAAGCAGACAGTTCTCTAATCCTGACAATTTCTTTATTCTTCTAATAAAGTCCATGATAATTTATCCATGATACATTTATCCAAGTCTGAATAATACTGTTASTATTATTATGTGCTTTGATATTGCTCTCTGTAGTAATATGTAACTGCAATTTCTTGTTCTCTGCACATCTTCCCTTCATTCTTGCCAGCTCCCATGAGAACCCTGTTCAATGTGTTCCAACTTCAAACCTGATTCAACTAATTATCTTARCATTTGACCAATTTGGTTCAAACTGTGTAACTAATGAATTTAAACTGCATTGTTAGTCTGAGTCTTCTAGAAAGACAAGATTTCATGGTCTTCTTGATCTTTAATAATAAAACAATGAAACCTATAACCTTTTATAACACCTGTAAAACCTAACTGGTCYTGAATAAGTTCCTGGACTGTTTAATAGGCTGTGAAATCTCACAGTATCAGTTGCTGAAGATGTATTAATTTGTCAGGTGTCCTCTTTTTATATTTCCATTTTCAAAGTGATAATACATACTTTAAAATGARCTAAACTTTTGAACTTCAACTCATATTCTGTGTCTGGGAAGTTCTTATTAAAATAAGCAAGTCAAGATTTTCCTAGGTTGGTAAAATATGTTCTGTAACTACTTAGAAGAAAAGCCTTWACTTCTAAGCAAAACTAATTCTAGGGATATTTTAGAGCAGGAGTATTGAGGAATCTAGAATCTGACCCTGGTTGAGTGTCAGGCACCCACCAAAGCCTCTCTGTCACCCCTCTGAAGCTTGAAAGGGGAGGGGAAATATAATCAAAAGCTTATGAGCTGAGAGAAGGATGTAGGGATCACTCACCAAATACTGTCATGGGCAAAACAGACTTGTGTTGAAGATATTTATTAGATCTATTACTAACAAAATCAAAGCAAGATAAAGAGAAGTAAAATAAAATCTTTAAAACACCTTCCTCCCCCAGCTTTATCTCCTCCCCTAGAGGTGGAGGGAGATGGGGCATAGGGCTTATGGTCAGCTCAGGGAGAAGAGTCCTTCCCCTGCCCCACTGTGGGG